GTCTGAAAGCACACTTCCCGCGTGGCAGCCTGCAGCCGCCTCGGAAAGGCGGGGGGGACAAAAGGCCTGGCGGTGAGGGTGCCATTCAGCCGCCTGCTGGACCTCGCTCCTTATTCTCTGGGGGACTTGGGGGGGCGGGATGGGAGCCGGGGGGGCGAGGGGGGGTCGCTGTGGCGAGCAGCTGCCATTCCCTCATTAATATGCGCACCTGCTTCCTCTGGCCAATCTGGGAGCCCTTACACCCGCTCTACCCCCGCACCACAAACAGCCACACACACACACACACACACTCTCCTCTGCTGGCATGCCCCTTCCTTATGTGTTCGGACGCATGCTTTGCGTGCTGCGGAATTATTTTTAATGCCCGTTACGATGCTGGCACACGCCCTCGGCTGCCTCTGCCCCCCCCAGACCCTTCATGTGAGAGACACTGTGGCGAAGCGGTTTGGCCTGGGTCCCTGCCGCTGCCCGGACTTGGTTTGGGGGTGGACGCTTTGCAGGGGTGGCGGACCTCACCCATGCTGCTTGCTCCATGCTGCCCCCTCTGGTGCGCTTCGGCATCGCCGACAACGAGCGTGACATTCAGATTGCCGGCACGCTGCCCCAGAACATGTGTTTTTCTTTTTTATAACTTTGCTCAAAGAGGCCAGCAGGGTATTTTCTTTTGCTGGTGAGGCATCATAATTCCCAGGAGACACATTGTAATAATGCCCACCCCCATCCTTCCAGGGGTCCTAGTGCCCTGAGGGTTGAGAGCGTGGACAGTAGGAGGGTGTTTGTTAACTGGCCTTTTTTTGAAGCCTTTCTGAAGCCTTTTTTGTCCTGTGTTCCACCCCATCTTTCAAGTAGGATATTATTGTTGTTGTGAGCTTTTGTTTGCTTAGCAGGTCTTTATCTACAGTGTCTGTTTTCTTTTACACAGCTGTGCTGTTCTGTCGTAGTGCAGGCTGACTTAATCTCAGCGCTCGCTCATGGTCGTAGCCGCCCCGGCCCTGCCTGATGCCGGAGCCTGCAAAGGCCGGGCCTTTGTGCGCGACACGACAATGAAACGTACGTCAGCCAGCTGTGATGGTTTAAAGGGCCGGTGTTGAATTGTGCGTCACTGCAGAATATTAAAGGGTATAGTGTTCTTGGGGGGCAGGGGGTTTATTTAAAGGCCGTGATATGAAAGGGCCTTTATTTGTGGTAGGAAAGTACATTGTTAGGCACTTGCCCACTAAATATGTAGAGTCATTTAGAGAGATGAGCTTTTAAGTCTCCTGGTTAAGGAACCAGACCCTTCTCCTGTAAAGGAACTCTGCCCCAGGCTGTTAGAACAAATAGTGTATCTCTGCCTAGATATCCGTCCCGCTCAACAACAGCTTGTACTGTGGGTGTTTGTCACTTTGGCGGCTTTGCCTCAGATCCCGTCGTCCTTTTGCCCCCCCCCCAGGAAGTGATTCCAGACCCCCCCTGCCTCCAGTGACCAAGCCTGGTCAGGATGTGTAGCATTAGGGTTGCATGGAGTGGCTTTGCTGATAAGTAGAGTCTAACTTGGGGGGGGATGTTGAGGTACGACAGACACGGCCCTTTTCCCCCCTCTCTGCAGTGTGTAAATGTACGGCTCCATGGGCGAAACGCCTCGCATTACCTCCGAATTATGGGCTTACGGCAGAATGGCAAACACCCCCCTGAAAGGCTCAGTCCCCACGTGGGGCATTTTTCCCGGACTCTTTGAAGCTGTGTCATTATGGGCTGGCACTGGAGGCTGCTGTCGGCGATGATTCTGCCCGCAGGGCTTGGTGGGGGGGGGGGGGGCACTCACAGGAAATAAGACAGGAAATGGTGGCCGGTGGACGTCAGACCCATGGCAGGGGCTCGGCACGCATGCTGTTTGCCAAAGGCCAGTGAGGCGGCTGCTAATCAAACAGGCTGACAAGCCAGACTCACTCAACACGAATGACTGTCAGCGAACATTTTTAGGGCAGTGGGGTGTCGACGGGCCGTATTGGGCTGAACTCATGTGGTACGCTGAAATATTTTTGCGCTTTACAATTTCCTAACGGATTTGAACGTTAAAATTGGTATAGTAGTGACCTGTGGAATTTGAGGTTCTGCAAAGATCGTCCTCCTCACTCGCCGTGGACGGAGGGTAATTCGGCGCCGGTCTAACCGCGTCCAACCGGCCCATTCTCCCTAGATGCCCGGACAGTTTTGTGGGGAGCCGCTGCCAGTTTCCCAACCCCTGCATCTACTCGCCGTGCAAGAACGGCGGGTCCTGCCGCGCGCTCGTCCGCGACAACACCGCCGACTTCGCCTGCTCCTGCCGGCTGGGCTTCTCCGACCGCCTGTGCCTGACGCCCACCCACAACGCGTGTGTCAGCGCCCCCTGCCGCAACGGCGGCACCTGCGACCTCGTCAGCCTCAAGGAGTACAGGTGTCGCTGCCCGCCAGGGTGGTCAGGTACGGATCAGGCCCGGCCATTGGGGGGCGCTGTCTTCTGGGGATTGTGTAATGTGATACAGCTCAAAGCATCAGCATACTGAGTATTAAACGAGTACTAATTTATGTGGCGTGATAGCGTCACCACTGGAGTGTTGTGGCTCTGATTCCTGCCCCCTGGAATCTGGATGTTCTTGCCATGTTTTCGGGGTTTTCCCACTGCCACCCAACTGCAAGCTGGATGGATGGATGGATGGACGTCATGTATGTGAACATGCATGTGTGATAATGAAATCACTTGTTTAATAACAGTATGCCCTCCTGGTCTTTCTTAGGCAAACAATGTCAGCAAGCAGACCCATGTGCCTCGAACCCCTGTGCCAACGGTGGCCAGTGCATCCCATTTGAATCCCATTACATCTGCACCTGCACCCCGTTCTTCACGGGCCAGACCTGCAAGCAGGACGTGAATGAGTGCGCCCTGAGTCCCTCCCCCTGCAAGAATGGGGGCATGTGCATCAACCAAGTGGGCTCCTACCACTGCAACTGCCCCCAGGAGTACACGGGCATGCACTGCGAGGCCCCCTACCTGCCCTGCAGCCCGTCTCCGTGCCACAACGGGGGCACCTGCGTCCAGAAGGGTGACTCCACCTACGAGTGCACCTGCCTGCCAGGTAGGGTCCTCCCCCGCGAGCGTCCTGTTTGAACTACCGCATGCTAACTGTAGGTGGAGCTGTCGAGCAGCGCTGTGTTCTCCAGCTCACCAGTCCCGCCCACTCAAGCGTGCCCAGTCTGCGCGTGCTCTGTTTGAGCAGCTCGCTCCGGGTCCCTGCTTGAGCACACTTAACATGCTCTCCAGCACCTAGTCTTCATTATGAGGATAGCGTTGCCGTTACCTTTGTAGTCTTGCTGCTACACTGGGAAGGTTTCTTCCTGCATTTGCGGTGTAGGCCTGGTGAGGAGGGCGGCTGGTTACCCTGGGTGACAGTCACCCGTTTCAAGTGTGGGTCTGGGCAAGGTCCTCAGAAGGTCCCCTGTCCTGTGCCGTTCTTAACTGATGTTTGCCACGACTGTGACCTCGGTACTGACTATTGCTAACTATTGGCCTGTTGGCAATGCTGGTAAGAATGGGATCCTTAGGACGGTGAGGCAGCACAAACTGGCACGGCTGAGATTATGGCTGTGGTGTCGTCACCCGTGTGTTATCAACGGCTCCCCCTAGGGTTCACCAGCCAGAACTGCGAGCACAACATCGACGACTGCCTGGAGCACCGCTGTCAGAACGGGGGCACCTGTGTGGACGGCGTGAACACCTATAACTGCCAGTGCCGGCCCGAGTGGACAGGTAAGCCTCCCTCCCCGTGCCCTGGGTGCCCCCCAGGATGTGCCTGGCGTTCCTGCGCCGAACCACGTTTCCCCTTCTGCTGCCCCCCCGCAGGCCAGTTCTGCACCGAGGACGTGGACGAGTGCCAGCTGATGCCCAACGCGTGCCAGAACGGCGGTACCTGCCACAACACGCACGGCAGCTACCACTGCGTCTGCGTCAACGGCTGGACGGGCGACGACTGCAGCGAGAACATCGACGACTGCGCCAACGCCGCCTGCTACAGCGGCGCCACCTGCCACGACCGCGTCGCCTCCTTCTTCTGCGAGTGTCCCCACGGCCGCACGGGTGAGCCAAAGCCCCCGCCCATCCGGAGGGACTTCCTGTGAGGCCTGCACGCTTTACAAACTATAATCAAGACTCTAAACTGTGTGCCCCCCCATCCCCAGGCTTGCTGTGTCACCTAGACGACGCCTGCATCAGCAACCCGTGCCAGCGAGGCTCCAACTGCGACACCAACCCCGTCAACGGGAAGGCCATCTGCACTTGCCCCCTGGGTTACTTCGGCTCCGCCTGCGACCAGGACGTCGACGAGTGCTCCCTGGGTGAGACCCCTGGCGCTTCGGCGAGTGGGGGGTGGCGGGCACGGCTCGCGGGCATCCCCCGTCCCTGCCTCACACACTGCTCCGTCTCCTCCAGGCGCCAACCCGTGTGAACATGCCGGGAAGTGCCTGAACACCAAGGGCTCCTTCCAGTGCCGCTGCCTGCAGGGATACTCGGGGCCGCGCTGCGAGATGGACGTCAACGAGTGCATGTCCAACCCGTGCAGGAACGACGCCACCTGCCTGGACCAGATCGGGGGCTTCCACTGCATCTGCATGCCAGGTGTGCGACCTGCCCTTGGGGCTGCGTCGATACCCCCATGCTTCACCACCCAGAGGAAGCGCTTTAATGCCGAACCGATCTGCACGACTGTAGCCCGGCTGAACGCTGTTCCTTCTCTTGTGCCGGTGGGCAGGTTACGAGGGAGTCTTCTGCGAGATCAACACAGATGAATGCTCCAGCACGCCGTGCCTGAACAACGGGAGGTGTGTGGACAGAATCAACGGCTTCCACTGCGAGTGTCCCAAAGGTGAGAGGCCTAAACCTGCCCCCCCCCCCCCCCCTTCCAGGTTATCATTGTAATACTGCGTAAAGGTCTTTCGCTATTGAGTTTTACTTTGGGGAGGTATCAGGCAGGAGGTGGGAGGGTGAACTTTTGTTCTTCTTAAAAACCCATTCACCCCCTGACCCTGAAACAGAAGCAGTGTTGAAAGGCAGATATGAGCGCTAGGCTGCCCCTTACTGGTACTCAGCTTAGCAACTGAAAAACCACCGTGTTTATGTTGGGGACCAGCTTGACTGAAGTCTCCGTGGTATTGTGAGTTCTGCAACCGTTAATCTCTGAAAGATCGGAGGATAAGGGGTTGGGAGGATTGGAGTGGGGGGTGGGACTTGGATCCTGGATTCTTCACGTCCCTGTTCCCACTTGAGATGTAAATCAGTTCCTCCGTGAGGCCTGTGTTTGGCTCTTCAACCCGCCACATATAGCTGGTATCCATGGAGATGCCAGCGCCGCGCCCCCCCCCCACCCTCGACATGACATGTAAAGGTGTGGACACTGAGCCACTCCCCCATGCATCCTAGCTGAAGGGATTAACAGCGTGACCCTCCCGGGGATTTCTTAAGGAGAAATCAATCGCACTGTTTGTTCGATTAAATAAAACCGGCCCTTTTTCTAGCCGCTGATTTTAAAGGACACTCAGTTGATCATTGTGGCAGACCTGGAATTAAAGTACTGCGCTTTTAAGCTGTAGCGCCTAAAAAAATAATACTCATGGAGGGAGGAAAACCTAGCATTTTAAAGACTGAACTGAATGAATGAAGTCGCTCAGACTGAATTGACATCGGCTGGGAGAAACATTTTGTAAATGGGATGATGAATGTGAAATGTGGGACACGGTGCCCCCATCTTGGTATAGACCTCAGAGAAGCCCCGGCATCTGTCTGAAAGTGCCTGGGATCTTTGGGCCGTGTGCTTCCCGCCAGATCACAGCTGGCCCCTCGCGGATCTCCGCACGTCCCAGCGAGGCTCCATGTCCGTCTGCTTGCTTCCCCAGGATTCTCCGGGAACTTGTGCGAGGTGGACTTCGACGAGTGCGCCAGCACACCCTGCAAGAACGGGGCCAAGTGCACCGACGGGCCCAACAAGTACACCTGCGAGTGCGCCGAAGGTACGAGGCCCCCCCCGCGCTGCCCCGACCCTGCTGTCCCTAGACCAGGTTCCCCAGGGCATCACGCCGGTTAACGTCCGCTTCGCCCTGTCGCAGGATACACGGGCGTGCACTGCGAGACGGACATAAACGAGTGCTACTCGGACCCCTGTCACTACGGTACCTGCAAGGACGGCCTGGCCTCCTTCACCTGTTACTGCCGGCCGGGGTACGTGGGACGCCTGTGCGAGACCAACATCAACGAGTGCCTGAGTCAGCCGTGCCAGAATGGGGGCACCTGCCAGGACCAGGAGAACGGCTACGTCTGTACCTGCCCCAAGGGCACCACAGGTGAGCCTGCCGGGCCGAGGCTGTCCGGGCGGGATGCTGGCTGGGGACGATGAAACGACGTGTCTCTCCGTGCTTCCGCCCCCAGGACAGAACTGCGAAGTCAACCTGGATGATTGCAAGAGCCGGCCGTGCGACTATGGCACCTGCATCGACAAGATCGATGGCTATGAGTGTGTGTGCGAGCCCGGCTACGCAGGTGAGGCCCCGCGCGACATCTGGCTGGCGGGCTGGCTCGTCTCCGGGGGGGGGGCACGGGGGGGGTGTCAGGTTACCAGGCCCAGTTGATCCACCTGTCAAGCCTGGAGCTCTAGTGTGAGTGTTATTATTTCTTTTTGGCCATTGCGTCCTGTGACTGTCTTTCAAGCTCTAGAAAAATGGGGGATGTGGGTAGTTGGCTTTACTTAAAGGACAACAGAGGCTGTTTTTTGTTTTTTTTTTTTGCTATTCAACAGGTTTAGCAGCTTTCTGTGACTGAAAGCTCAGTGTTTAACTTGAGTCCAGGGTGAAAAGTAGTTCATATCTCCCTGGTATGACTAGTCTTTGCGAGGCCCCACAAAGGTTTATAATCTTTATTTTATTTAGTGGATGCCTACAATTATGAAAGCCACTCAGTCCCGGGAACAATTGGGGTTAAGAGATTTGAATGGGTTGCCTGCAGATCACATGCACAGTGTACTGACCCGCAGTGCCACACACTGCCCCAGTGAGGTATAGTCACGTTGTACAGTTAGGGGAAGAAGTCTCACTAATTATGCAACTTACTCCAGTGTCCCTTTTGCTGTGGGGTTTCACTTCAGCAGAAATGAGAAGGGGGGGGGGCAGGGTGGTTTGGCATCTAACATAGAAATGAGAAGGGGGGGGCAGGGTGGTTTGGGGAAACTTTGCTGGGCCTCGAGTGCCTACAGTCCTCCTTTTGTCCTCGGTCCCAATTATCCGAACGCAGAGACGCAGATCTACAGCAAAGTAGGACTGTGAGCCAAACAGCCCCCATATGTTGCCATTCTAATTAATAGGGAGGAAGGGGGTGGGGGCAGAGTTAATTGTTGGGCACTCTTGTGTAAAATGGAGCCCTGGTTTCCGTCCTTGTAAACAAGCACTGCTGAGGTCCCGCTCGCGTTCCCTGGTATTGTTTGTATTCTGCATTGTTCGTGCATCGCGTGCCGGAGTGGCCCAGCTTCGGAACGCCGGCCCGCCGCCGGCTCCGGCTCTGTCGGGTCTGCTCCGATTCCGTGTCTGGGTTGCCAGGTTGTGGCCGGCGCGCATACCGCGACTCTGAGATTACCTACAGGGCTGTTAGCAGACCTCACTTTTGATGCTGATTTGTTGACGTTGGGTTTCCAAAGGCACCTTTTTCTGTGGGGTTTCACTTCAGCATCTAACATACAAATGAGAAGGGGGGGGGGCAGGGTGGCAGGGGGTGGTTTGGGGAAACTCGAGAGGAGCCCGTTAGGATTGCTGCAGGGTTTGTTTACCTGCAAGCTGCCTGATCTTTATACCTTGGCAGGAAAAGGTCTTGTGCAGTTTGCTTCTAGGAGTATGAAAAGACCTGTGTTTTCTGACCACTAGGGGGCACTTTTGGTTTACTGCCAGATTTGAAGATCAGCCCGCTAAGGTTTTTTAGTGTTAGTGAATGAAATTTGTTCCACAGCTGTGAACTGACAGACTTCCTTTTTTTTTCAGGAACAATGTGCAACATCAACATTGACGACTGCGCACCTAACCCCTGTCACAACGGCGGGACCTGTCTCGATGAAATCAATGGGTTCACCTGCGTGTGCCCCGAGGGCTACCACGATGCCATGTGTCTCTCTCAAATCAACGAGTGCATCAGCAACCCATGTATCCACGGATACTGCGAGGATGAGGCCAAAGGGTAAGCAGATCTGCTGTAATCTTTGCAGCTACTTGAATCGTTATTCCTGGATATAATCGCGTCGCAGCAAAATGCTGGCCTCTGATTGGCTGCGCCTCCTTCCAGTTACAAGTGCATCTGTCATTCTGGCTGGAGTGGCCAGAACTGTGACATCAACAAAGATGAGTGCGAGTCCAACCCCTGCGTCAATGGTGGCACCTGCAAGGACATGACAGGCGGCTACGTGTGCACGTGCCGCGTGGGGTTCAGCGGTCAGTGGCCCCCGGCTCACCCTGCCCATTACCCCCCCTCCCTCTCCAGCTAACGGTCTTCTTTCAGAATCTGTAACCCCCCCCCCACAAATCTGAACTAGGTGCTCCATGTGTTGCAGGCCCTAACTGCCAAACGAACATAAACGAATGTGCGTCCAACCCCTGCTTGAACCAGGGTACCTGCATTGACGACGTGGCTGGATACAAGTGCAACTGCTTGCTGCCGTACACTGGTAGGTGTCCTCGCCACTCACGAGCATCTCGCGTTTGTCGTGAGAAGCAGGTGGGATGTGGGACGGGATTTCACAATCGTGTGATGGTCTGCAAGCTTCCTGTCGTGGCCCCGTGTCGTTGAGGGACCCTCTAGTTCTTGCAGTGCTGCTGGTTAGTGCCGATGATGACGTCGGCTCTGCTGGTGCTCCTGGATGTTGCCGCAGGATTTTTCCTCTTCGCTCTGTAGCTGTTAGGGAAACGGACAGCGGCGGACTAATTTTTGGAAAGAATGTGGGGGGAAAAAAAACGAAACGCTCCAAGAGGAGAGGTGAAGTGGCACTCTTGTGGAGGGGCGGGGGACGGCGGCAGGGGCCACGTCCTGTTTGCTTGCCGCCCCAAACAATGGCAGGAAGCAGCTGCACTTCCTGCTAGATCTGGGTGCAGTGGAAATATAGGCCCAATCCCAAGCTGGTCCCTACACACTCCGCCTTCGATTACGCGTTCCCGAGACCCGTCGCCATGTTGAAGTGTGTCTCAAAGCAGCAAGAGCAAAGGGGGAGTGGTGGATTATGCAACGATGGTGGCTCGCGCGATTCCACTACCACTTCCATATCCCACAATTCCTAGCGCACAGGAAACAGAACAGCGCGAAAAAAGAAAAAAAATACACAATGTCATGTTCTTGATAATGTGATAATTGGATTGTAACAGCTAGCACTGTGAAACACATAGAAAGTTACATGTTATAATTCATCGCTGCAGAAAAAAAAATTAGGAAAGCAGCTATTTGTAGCTGGTCAGTACAGATATATTTTATCGTGATCCGATAGAGAGATTTCGTGTACTTTACAAACTAGAAACCACGCGAAGAAACGTTCGTACGCAAACTCGATCAACATCACACCAGCAATAACAATTTATGTTTCATATTTGCCTGTTTTTTTCCTCTACAGATCTGATCTGGTATTTGGTACGGAAGTAATGCGTAATGTTTTATGCGTGTAAACTAAGTTAACTATGGTAGAAATTGTACAATCATCAATATGACACGTGTGCATACTTCAAATTACTCAGTCAGTGCAATAAGACGACGTAGCCGTCGTCTTCTCGCGTTAGATAAGCTTTGTGCTTTTTTTAAATAACTGATATGTCATTAAAGAAAATACAATACAGCTTCTTCATTTTGTCAAATTACTACGTAATGCATTTTCTCTTTCCAGTAAAGAGGACTGTAAAAGGCGCTGCGAGGGCAAGTCTGTCTCAAATCTTTCTTGTGACAATTTCCTTCAGTTGTAAGTGCATAGGGCGTGTTGTGAGGGTGACTCGGCAGGAGTGTGACTCGAAATGAAGGCATGTCTAGGGTATAGTTTGGGATTGGGCCTTACCTGCAAACGGCAGAGGGAAACTCAGGCTGCTTTCTGGAACTGTCTCGTGGTGCTTGTAAGACATCTGAGAGTGAATTAAGAGCAGAGCTCCAGATATAGCATCTATATAGTTCCAAGTTAATAGTCTTTAAGTGTAATAAATATAATGTATTGTTTGCCCCCCCAGGTGAGAACTGCGAGAGCTTGCTGGCTCCCTGTAACCCGAAACCCTGTAAGAATGGAGGCATGTGTCAGACATCAGAGGACTACGAGAGGTTTTCCTGCGTGTGCCCCGACGGGTGGCAAGGTGAGGGAGCGTGCTTCCGGGGCTTTCCGGAGCATGTCGTATCCCCCCTTCCCCCCCACGGCGCTGGTCTGCGGCGTGCACTGTGTCAGCTTGCCCCCCTTTTCTCCCCCAAAGGTCAAACGTGTGAGGTGGACATCAACGAGTGTGTGAAGAGCCCCTGCCGTAATGGGGCCACATGCCAGAACACTTTGGGGGGGTACCGCTGCAGCTGCAGAGCCGGCTTCACGGGACGTAACTGCGAGACGGACATAGACGACTGCAAGCCCAGTGAGTCTCGCCTCCCGCCGCTCTGTCTGCGCACCCCCCAGTCCCCCTCCGGCGCGACGCCCCATGGTCACACTGCTCACCCCATACCTGCTGTCCCCCAGACCCTTGCAGGAACGGGGGCTTCTGCAGGGACGAGGTGGACGGATTCACCTGCACCTGCCTGCCCGGCTTCCGGGGCCTCAAATGCGAGGAGGACATCAACGAGTGCGACAGCAACCCCTGCAAGAACGGCGCCAACTGCACCGACTGTGTCAACAGCTACACGTGCACCTGCCCGGCGGGTTTCAGCGGCATCCACTGCGAGAACAACACGCCCGACTGCACGGAAAGGTGCTAAAACATCACACATACTGAAGGGGGGGGTTAACATTCAGCACTTAATATCGTCATCTGTAGGGTCTGGGGTTGATTAATATCCCCATCATATGTGTGTTGGGCTCTGTGATCGATTGATGCCCCCTGCTTGCCACGAGGATCACCGCGACCCTGTTCTGGATGAGTCACCATGGAAGCAGCGATGAAGCGTGATGCACAGACATTAACGCTCTTTTTCGCACTTGCAGCTCCTGCTTCAATGGTGGCACGTGCGTGGATGGCATCAACGCCTTCACCTGCCTGTGCCCACCAGGCTTCATGGGCAGCTACTGCCAACATGACATCAACGAGTGTGACTCTAGGCCCTGTCTGAACGGGGGCACCTGCCAGGACACGTACGGCACGTACAAGTGCACCTGTGCCCACGGCTACACCGGGCTGAACTGCCAGGTACAGGACAGCCCTCCGACCGGACTTGGCATCTTTGTTAACCCCCTTCCTCTCCTCTCGTGCCTGATTTTTTCATCCGTTCGTCTCCTTCCAGAACCTGGTGCGCTGGTGTGACTCGTCACCCTGCAAGAACACGGGCACCTGCTGGCAGACGGGCACGTCGTACAGCTGCGAGTGTCAGAGCGGCTGGACGGGCCTCTACTGCGACGTGCCCAGCGTGTCCTGTGAGGTGGCGGCCAAGCGGCAAGGTAGCGTGGGTGCAGGAACAGGAGGGGGAGTCTGACAGGGAGGGGTGGGATTATCGCTGTCAAAATAAAAGCCAAGCTGCTGCGTCCGGCCAATCAATGTGCTCCTTTCTGTGCCCTCGATTCACCTAGGCGTGGATGTAACTCACCTGTGCCGGAACTCTGGCCAGTGCCTGGATGCTGGGAACACCCATTACTGCCGATGCCAGGCCGGATACACGGGCAGTTACTGCGAGGAGCAGGTGGACGAGTGCCTCCCCAACCCCTGCCAGAACGGAGCCACCTGCACAGACTACCTGGGGGGATACTCCTGCGAGGTAACTCAGCTGCGACGTCTCCCTGGCGATGGGGGCCGGCCGGGGGCCACCCACCCCTCCCTCTCAAGGGTCCAGACTGAAATGCTTGCCTCTGCAGAATTTGGCTTCTGTGCACCTGGCTCTCTTCCCAGTCGTTGTTTCATGTCAGTCATCGATTCCTGCTGTCCCCCCCCCCCCTCCCCCACAGTGCGTGCCAGGGTACCACGGGGCGAACTGCTCTAAGGAGATCAATGAGTGCCTCTCCCACCCCTGTCAAAACGGAGGCACATGCATCGACTTAATCAATACCTACAAGTGCTCCTGTCCCCGAGGCACACAAGGTCAGGGCTCGCTCCGCCTCACCCCCTCCCCCCTCCCCAAAACCGGCACGCTTCATTAATTAGGGCTTAATGATATTCAGCGCTCGACTGAAGTCTTTTTCGTTTGAGAATGTTAGTGTTCGTTGGGCCTTATAAGGCCTCGATTCCAAACCGCGCGCTATGATGCGGCATCTGACTGCAGCCCCGTTGTCCTCCCAGGCGTCCACTGCGAGATCAACGTGGACGACTGCACGCCCTTCGTGGAGCCGCTGACCCGCGAGCCCAAGTGCTTCAACAACGGCAAATGCGTGGACCGCGTGGGCGGCTACAGCTGCGTGTGCCCGCCGGGCTACGTGGGCGAGCGCTGCGAGGGTGATGTCAATGAGTGCCTGTCCAACCCCTGCGACCCCCGCGGCACCCAGAACTGCATCCAGCTCACCAACAACTACCACTGCGAGTGCCGCACTGGATACACAGGTAGGAGGGGAGGACTGGGCTTCCTCCGGGGCCCATCGTCATCGCCATGGGAGCACGCAGACCTTCTTGACCGGGAACGCTAACCTCTGTGCTCCTGTTGCGCCTCTCAGGCCAGCGCTGCGACACCGTGTTTGACGGCTGCCAGACCAAGCCCTGCCGCAATGGGGGCACCTGCGCCGTGGCCAGCAACACGCCCCGAGGCTTCATCTGCAAGTGCCCACCGGTGAGTCCACCCCCCCCATCCCCCTCTTGAGGGCGCCATTCCCGTCTCGCCAAAGCACCCCGTCGAGCAGGTGTCTCCTGTCCGCCTCTGCAGGGCTACAGCGGGTCCACATGCGAAAACGACGCCCGCTCATGCGGCAGCCTGCGGTGCCGGAACGGGGGCACGTGCGTCTCGGGACAGAAGAGCCCCAAGTGCCTGTGCCCGGCAGGCTTCACGGGGCCCGAGTGCCAGCACGCCACTGAGGGGCCCTGCAGCTCCAGCCCCTGCTACAACGGGGGCACATGCGAGCCAGTGGCTGAGGCGCCCTTCTACCGCTGCGTCTGCCCTGCCAATTTCAACGGGCTGCTCTGCCACATCCTGGACTACACGTTCGGGGGCGGGTTCGGGCGTGACATCACACCGCCGCCCGAGATCTCGGTCAGCTGCGAGGTCACGCAGTGCGAGGGCCGCCGCGGCAACGAAATCTGCGACAGCCTGTGCAACAACCACGCGTGTGGCTGGGATGGCGGCGACTGCTCGCTCAACTTCGACGACCCCTGGCAGAACTGCTCCGCGGCGCTGCAGTGCTGGCGCTACTTCAACGACGGCAAGTGCGACGAGCAGTGCGACAACGCAGGCTGCCTCTACGATGGCTTCGACTGCCAGGACACCGAGGGCCAGTGCAAGTGAGTATGCTGATGCACCGTCTGTCCTTCTGTCTATCCATCTGTTAATCCACCTGTTTCTCCATATGTACATCCATCCATCCATCAGTCCATATGTCCATCCTGCCATCCGTCTGTTCACCTATCCCTCCATTTGTCCATTCATGTCTGTCTGTCCATCCATCCATCTTTCATCCATGCGTCCCTCAGCTGACCATTCCATCCATCCATCCATCCACTTTCCAGCTGACACTGGTTATTCAGCAAAGGAATAAATTAAAATGCAAATGTCCATAGCATGTATTTAAATGATGCATTGGTCATGTATGTTAATGTAGGTGTAAAACATTATATCATTTCTTATGCATGCTCACATATATGACATTTCCATTGCTTACCTGCTTAAAGCACAGGGCACAAGGCAGGGAACACCCTTGTGAGTGGGAATCAAACCCACAACCTACAGACGAACTCATTAAATTCCCATGCTATGGTCCCCCCCCCTCCCCAACCCACAGCCCCCTGTATGACCAGTACTGTAAGGACCACTATGCGGACGGCCACTGTGACCAGGGCTGCAACAACGCCGAGTGTGAGTGGGACGGCCTGGACTGCGCCGACAACGTGCCGGAGAAGCTGGCTGACGGCAGCCTGGTCCTGGTGGTGCACATAGCTCCGGAGCGGCTGAGGAACGACTCGGCGGCCTTCCTGCGCGAGCTCAGCCGCGTCATCCACACCAACGTGGTGTTCCGGCGTGACGCGCGGGGCAACCCCATGATCTTCCCGTACTATGGAAGCGAACACGAGCTCCGCCGCCACAAGATCAAGCGCTCGACCAACGGCTGGGGCCCCCGTGCCCCCGCGGTGTCCGGCCGTGGTGCCACACTTGGCGCCCGGCGCCGCAGGGAGCTGGATCAGATGCAGATTAAGGGGTGAGTCCACATCAGGACCCGTCTGCTCGGGCTGGCTCTACCTAAAACTCCAGAAACCCTCCTGACTCGCTGTAGTCCTAGATGTAGGTTCCGTGCTCTGACTCTCTACTGCCCCCTTCAGGTCCGTGGTGTACCTGGAGATTGACAACCGCCAGTGTTACCTGCAGTCTGACGACTGCTTCCAGAGTGCCACCGATGTGGCCGCCTTCCTTGGAGCACTGGCCTCCAGTGGCCACTTGAACGTGCCCTACATCATCGAGGCCGTTACCAGTGAGTGTTCCCCTCCCCCCCCCTCCATCTCCAAAGGGACATGGACCCCACCATGTGCCTGCTGGCCCCCTAACCCTCCCATAAAAACCTACGAAGGGGTCATCGCGTTTGCCTCCAAATGACAGTTTGTGCTAATGAAATGTACACAACGGCAGATCACTCCCACTAAATCCCCGAGTTTATGTTCAAATCCGCACGCTGCGGGCACCCAAAATAGCGAGATCTCTACGAATAAACTGCAGCAGCGCATCATCACCGACACCGCACCCCCCCATCCCCCACGAGTGGGTCTTCAGCAGCCTTCACCCCGTTGAATGTAATACCAAGACTTAATGCATCTCTAAGGGTTTAGGTGTGGAGAGTTTATCATTTCAAAATCATTAGGAGAGAAAAAAAAAAGAGGGAAAATTGATCGGGAGTGTGCTAGAAGTTGGGCCTCTTTGTTATCTTGAAAATCCTAATAAATCCTCGGTCTTTACAGCTTAAAGCGCGTGCAGTAATTTGAAGTTCATTAATCCCTGCCTTTTTTCCCTTAAAGAAGAAATGGTCTCATGGTACCCTGTTCTGAAAGGGGAGTGGGGCTCTATTTTGCCCTCCCTTTTTCTGCCAGCTCTTTTTGATGAGAAGTAGTTAGCAATTCTGATTATCAGCGAATGAGACAACCTTGTTTTACAAGCGCTCTCCTGCCTTCCGGCTGCTGCTGTCGTGTGCGCATAGACACGGGCTCCGAGCGACCGTCTCTGCTGGCACCGTGAGGCTCTTCCTCGTCCTAATCGTGCCTTTTTTTAAAAAAAAAATAAAAAATCCCCCCCTTCCTGACATGCGGCTTCCCTCCACCGCAGGCGAGAACAAGACCCCGGCGTCTTCGGAGCTGTACCCAGTCTATGTGGTCTTGGCGGCCGTGGTCCTGCTGGCCTTCCTCGGCGTGGGAATGATGGTCTCCCGTAAGCGGCAGCGCGAGCATGGGCAGCTCTGGTTCCCCGAGGGGTTCAAGACCACCGAGCCCAACAAGAAAAAGAGGAGAGAACCGGTTGGGGAAGACTCCGTGGGACTCAAGTAAGTTTGTAGTCCATTCCACAGAATTGGGACGATCGTACTCTCGCATTTAAGTCTTTTATTTTTGGGTTTCGCCCTTTTGAGGAAATTGTTATGGCATGACTGTTGAGTGTTGGGTCCAGGGATTGAGGTGTCCTTCAGTTTGTAAATATGATGACAGCGATGGAAAAAATTAGGAGTTGGAACCGGCACATTAATTGACAGGAGTTAGCGAAGCGATGGGTGCGCAGGTGCCTGCGGCCGGCTTGTCGTGGGATCTGTTCTGTCGGTCGTCTGGCTTCTGCCAGCGAGCCGGAAGGAGACTAACGGGAATTTCCCCCGGGTTTCCGGATTTGGTAACAGGCCACTGAAGAACTCCTTAGACGTGTCCCTGATGGACGACAACCTGAACGAGTGGGAAGACGAGGCAATGTCAGACACCAAGCGTTTCAGGGTAAGTCAGCCGCTGCCGCCTTGACGGGAAAAGCTGTTTAGCGTTTATAACATTTATTTGCATTTATTTAATGTACTGCACTGCTGGCGGTACTTCGCGACCCAAGACCGCTTGTTCTAGTGACGTGACAATAAAAGTGATTTGATTTGATTTTGATTTGATTTGAAACAAAATAATCGATATGTTAAACTTGGAAAACAAAAATGTTGGTTGTTTTCACGAGGCATAACTATACTGTGGTATTATGGTAAATGACAACAAAATGTTAGGACACCTGCCCGTTGGCTTAGATGCTCTGTGAACTGGGAGATAGGAGTGGTTGTTTGGGATTTTGCATGTTTTTATTAGATAAGAGGTATTTGATTCAGCGATGTTATGATTTATCATTATTTATTATTATTATTATTTCCAGGTGGATCATGTGTCCGTCTCGGGTTAAAAAGAAGTGCATTCATGAAGAGCTTTCAGCCTGAGTTGCTTCAGCGTGGTTTGGCTGGCATTGCGTGATATATATCTCTTTATTTTTAGTTTGAGGCTGCGATGCTGGACTTAGATGACCAGACCGATCACCGGCAGTGGACCCAGCAACACCTGGATGCGGCAGATCTGCGCAATCCATCCATGGCACCCACGCCCCCACAGGGCGAGATGGAAAACGACTGTATGGATGTCAACGTCCGTGGTCCAGGTATGCAGACTTACACATCTGTATTTAGCTCTCAATACTGCTGCTATGCTCCATCCACTGAGCAGCCTCTTAAACCTGCTGGTTAGATCCTTTATAAACGTCCCCCAGAACAGTGCAGTAGTCAGTCTGTCTTAATCCAGTATTCACTGTGGGAGCTCATGCTTGCTTTTATAGATTTGCAGTCATAGTGCTGTGGTTTTTTTTAGTGTGTGTATGGTTACTGACATACTTGAGGTGCCATCTGTCTGTTGTCATTCAACTGACATGTTATGTAGAATGATTCTGTTTGAATTAATGTGATGGACAACAGCAGCGTGTTTTTCCTTCTCTCATGGGGCAGTCAATCATAAAAACAGCTCTGGAAAAAATTAATTGACCACAGCAAAATATTCAGTTTCACCTGTTTCTCAGTTTGTGGTTGTGCGCCCGTGTAAAATATACAAACTCCAGCCTGGCTCATCCCTGCTTCTCACTGATGAAGGGCTTCTTCCTTGCTTTGTGGGTCTTCAGTCCTGCTTCTAGAAGCCTGATATAAACTGTCCTAGCAGTGCACTTCACACCTGCACTTAATGTTTCCCATTCCATTTGAAGGTCACTTGAGGTCATCTTCCAATTCATGAGAAACTATCGGATAAGTTGACAGTCATCTCTGGCATTAGAAAGTCACTTCTGACCTCTACCTGGCTGGTTTTTGGTCATTCCCAGTGTCTCCTGCTTCACCTTGTTCTTGTGTGCTGCTGTCTTAGAAACTTTGAGCCTGGAAGCAGCCTGCAGTTTAGCTTTCTGCCAGCAGAACCAGGATTAGACCAGGATTTAAAAATGCAGATTTGTAAAAAAAAAATATAGAGTGGTCTCAATTTTTTCCAGAGCTATACAATGCCGAAATATTCTTTCTATCAAAAAATAACACCGAATGCCCTGAAAAAGAATTTAAGAGAAATCAGAATCCTCTATCTGCAGATTTTGACGTGCTTGAGTTGAAAGAGTCCAGCGGATCTGGGAATTACTTCTGCTTTTGAAGTGCAGGAGCGCGTGTGAGGAAGGCAGAGCCGTGTCTCAAAGACCGTAATTCCCGGTTTTTTGGCAGCCCGGGTTGGGTGGGGCCCAGGCTGGATCCTTCGGCTCCTTGGCTTTTTAAAAGTGCCTCAGATATCGAGCTTGATCGGAATACCATTATTGGAGAGGTCTGTGTTTACTCCGAGGCAAAGAAATGTTAAATCCTTCCTTCGATTAGTTTGTTCCTTTTTTGTTTTTGATCCTCCCAGCACTTCAAGATTGAACTGTACCGCACTGGGGCTGATTTCTGTGTGTGTGTGTGTGTGTGCGTGTGTTTAATTTTTCCTTCATTTCTGTTAACCCTCCCTCTCCTGCATCCCCTGCAGATGGCTTCACGCCCCTGATGATCGCGTCCTGCAGCGGCGGCGGCCTTGAGACCGGCAACAGCGAAGAGGAGGAGGACGCGTCTGCCAACGTCATCTCGGACTTCATCTACCAGGGGGCCAACCTCCACAACCAGACGGATCGCACGGGCGAGACGGCGCTGCACCTCGCGGCCCGCTATGCCCGCTCCGATGCCGCCAAGCGCCTCCTGGAGGCTAGCGCGGATGCCAACGTTCAGGACAATATGGGCCGGACCCCCCTGCATGCCGCTGTGGCCGCGGACGCACAGGGAGTCTTCCAGGTGCTGCTCGCTTGTAACCCAACCATAGGTTCATTATCGGTCTTACTGTGCTGTCATGTGACCGGTGCTGACTAACATCTACCATGCTGCCGTCTGTAGATTCTGATCCGAAATCGGGCCACAGACCTGGATGCCCGCATGCACGACGGAACCACCCCACTCATCCTGGCAGCCCGTCTGGCCGTGGAAGGCATGGTGGAGGAGCTCATCAACTGCCACGCCGACGTCAACGCGATCGACGACTTCGGTACGGACGTTCCGCTTTTGGTCTCCATTGACTCTCATCCGATTAATCTCGGCGCATCTTTGGCTCAATATCCGTCACATTAATCCGTCCCTTTTTTGCCACCAGGAAAATCTGCCTTGCACTGGGCAGCTGCAGTGAACAATGTGGACGCCGCTGTGGTCTTGCTGAAGAATGGCGCCAACAAGGACATGCAAAATAACAAGGTGAGTCACCAGTCATTCATCTCAGAACCGTGGGGTGTGGCGCGTACCCTGCGCACGGCTCCAACTGTTTGCGTACTTTGTTCCAGGAAGAGACGCCTCTCTTCCTCGCCGCCCGGGAAGGAAGCTACGAGACCGCCAAAGTCTTGCTGGAACACTTTGCCAACCGGGAGATCGCCGACCACGTGGACCGGCTGCCTCGAGACATTGCGCAGGAGCGCATGCACCACGATATCGTGCGGCTCCTGGATGAGCACAGCCTGGTCAGGAGCCCCGCTATGCACAGCGGCCCCATGAGCGCCACGCTCTCCCCGGCGCTCTGCTCCCCCAACGACTACCTGGGAGGCAGCATGAAAACCTCGAGCCAGGGCAAGAAGGCGCGCAAGCCCGGCGCCAAGGGCGTGTGCGGCAAGGACAGCAAGGACATGAAGGCCAGGAAGAAGAAGATCCAGGACGGGAAGTGCAGCTTGCTGGACAGCTCTGCCGTGCTCTCGCCCGTGGACTCCCTGGAGTCTCCACATGGATACATGTCTGACGTCGCTTCCCCACCCATGATGAACTCCCCCTTCCAGCAGTCTCCCATGTCCCTCAGCCACCTCCAGGGCATGCCTGACATCGGCGTCAGTCACCCGGTCATGGCGGGCAAGCAGGACCTGGCTCAAATGCAGTTTGACCTGGTGCCGCCCCGTCTGTCCCACCTACCAGTGTCTAGTCCCAGCAGTTCTGGCTCCATGACGATGGCAATGGGCGGGGCAGGTGGTGCCATGAACAGCCAGTGCGATTGGCTCTCCAGGATGCACGCTGGTCTAAGCCAGCAGGCAGTCTTCAACTCCATGCGTGGAGCAGGAGGAGGGCAGCACGGCATGGTGCCCCCGCTGCGTGGAGACCGTCCCACCACCACGCTCTCTCCGATGATGGGCTACCAGGGCATGCAGAACAGCCACCTGACAACGCAGACTCACCTCATGCAGGTGCAGCAGATGGCACCGGTGCAGCAGAACCTGCAGCAGCTGCAGCAGAGTCTTCAGCTCCAGCACCAGAACTCCAACACTGCCACTGGCGGCCACATCATCAGCCAGAATTTTATCAGCAGTGACCTGAGCAGCTCAGACCTACAGCCCGTGTCGGGCAGCAGTTTGCCCGTCCACACCATCCTGCCCCAGGAAGCACAGATGCTGCCCTCATCGCTCGGCCAGACCATGGCCAGCACGCAGTTCCTCACTCCACCTTCTCAGCACAGCTACTCCACCCCAATGGACAATACCCCTAGTCATCAGATACAGGTGCCTGATCACCCATTCCTGACGCCCTCCCCTGGATCCCCTGACCAATGGTCAAGCTCCTCCCCGCATTCCAATATGTCTGATTGGTCAGAAGGCATCTCCAGTCCTCCAACCAGCATGCAGTCACAGATTGGACTTGTTCCAGACCAGTTTAAATAGATTGGACACGTCTAAGCCTGACCAAGTTGAACATTTTAATTACATAGAAATGTGTAAATCCCTTTTTATTTTTTTTAAGATACTGTTCAAGCAAATGGACAACTTGCAAGAAAGATGACTAAGAAAGGATACTTTTATAATATATTATACTAACAGTGGTAAGAGTTGTCGTCATCCATTTCTTATTTATTTATAACTATTTATAATTGTTGTTTGCTAAAATATTGGGTGCTGAGGTGTCAGGCTCAGACCAAGGTAGAAAATGTGAAAAATTTCAGGTTTGTGTAATTATTTGGTTTAATTTTATTTCTGTAGTAAAAGGAGAAAATCCCGATGATCAATAGACTGTTATTTATTTCTCTTTATAAATTTTTGTTTTTATGATTTTTTTAAAAAAATTCATGCTTTTATTTTTTTAAACATTGTATATAACGTTGATAAGATTTCAGTATTATTGGCTTTTTGTGTTCAACAAATACAGGGCTGTTTTAAAAGAACCACAAAAATAGGCTGTACAAACTGTGACTGTATGTTTTTTCTCATATTCACAATGTGTCAGTTTCTCGGGGTCAGTGCACTGAGGTCATCCAGATCTAATACACAAGGTGATTGGCTGTTGATAACCAGGTGACCAGGTTGATAGCCAGCCATCCCCTTGGAAAGAAGCCCTTAGGCTGAGAACTGTGGGAGGTTGTCCAGACCTGGCTGTATCCAAGTAGCATGTTTGAATTACTGCTGTATGTGAGTGGATGCTCGGAAACATGTTGAAGTGTATAATAATGTACATTTTGTTACATGCAGGGTTTTGTTTCAGAAATCTTAAGTCTTAAGCATGTCACGCCAGTTGGAGATGTCACAATGCTTATTTACGTATTGTTAAAATAATTCGTATAGAACATGTATGTTACTCAGTATTACTGAGACCTAAATATGAATCTACTGAAATTTGTGAATTTGCAGGGGTCAACTGAAGTACCTATGTAAAAAAAGATGTGGTTTTATGAATTATTTATTGAAATGTTTTGAAATCTGCTTACTAGAGTAGCTTATTTTCATTTAATTGGTCATTTTGGGGGAGGGGGTTATTTTGTAGTGGGCCAGACAGATCGTTTTGTCAGTACACTGACCCGCTGTGAAGAGCTTTGGGTGATGTTGGTTCTTACTGTTGATGTTTTATAAACCAAGATGTAGAAAAATCTGTGTAATGGGTTTAAACACTTTGCTGCCGATGTTCAGATTTGTAGTTTGCAAAAGACTATTTTCCGTAATTTGTACAACATTTGTTTCTTAATACAATAAAGAAGGCTACTTAATGTCTGTTTGACTCACTGGCACTTGCGATCTGCCCTTCAGTCCAAAAGTAAAGGACCAAACTAAAAAGCTGCTTTTTGTTACTTTTACCTTATGAATAATAAGAACTGGACTGTAGTAGCATTAAGGTCCCAGGGTCACCAGCTCTCACACATCTGGTGTGACGCTCACGCTTTCAGTCTCTCACACTCACACAAGACATCTTACAGCGAATCTATATTATTCCATTATAAATGCAAAATTAGCTACATCAAAAGCGTTGGGGTAGTTTGCAAACCCTACAGACTATTTACAGGGTAATAAAACTGTAACATAGGCCTACATATAAATGTGTGTGCATTTGTGTGCAGACTTGTCTTGAACTGAAAATCTCATTCCAGCAAGCTTACCAAAGTTGGCAGCCCTAAAGTCCACACACACAAAAGTAAGGACACAGGTACTGGGCAGAAATGGAAATCATGATTCTTTCCACTGAATCTTTCTGGCTCGTTAACCCAGACGTGTAAGTGCATTGCGTCGGTCAGTCCAGGACTACATGTATATGTCTGCATGACATGCAAATCAGATTCAGTATTTGGACGTCTGATCACGACCCATTAGATATATACAGTTCAATCCAGTTATATATTTGAACATCTGGCTATGAGATTTTTTGGAAGTCTGTGAACATGCAAGACAGGTGCAGGACCCAATATTGGACGTTCAAAAGACGGCATAAAAAATTCATCCCAGCTCCTAAGGGCATGTTTTTTCAACGTCTAACAAGATGTTCAGTAGATGTATTTTGGACGCATATTTGCTCAGTGGAAAGAATCGATAGTTTGCTCACTTTTTCGTCTTGGGAGAGGGTGGTCCCTTCTATAAAACGGTGTTTAGATTTACAGCAGGTCAATCAATCTATACATCCATCTATATAGGCTACATAACATGGGTCTGTTAACACACTTTTTATTAAACCAGACAGGCAGAAGTGCCCCATGAAATCATTATATTCGGTCCCCAGAACTTCAAGCCTACACGCCGTTTACACTGGATTGGAAACCGTTAATGGTCCATGCAGCCCCGGATTGTTCGCAGTTTGTCGATGCTACACGGTGACGGTAAATAAATATGTGTAATTTGGCGTCATCTAGTGGTAGAGAGCAGGTAGTGCTTAATGGGGAGCAATTAACACATGGCCCGTGATGTTTCCGGGAGAAACATACTCTTGTACGCTAACGCAAGGTAATAGAAATGTTTCATAAAATGCCTAGCTGCTTAGACGGCCGTAGTTTTACGTTGCTTTAATTTTTTTATTTAGAAAGGTAAAAAGAATACACGTAACGACATTGTAAAATAAGCAACAATTTATACTCAAAGTTACTGTTGGCTGCATGGAAATTTGGCAATAACTACGTGGTCGTTTGCAAATGCAATGATTTTATTCCAATGGTTTTTCTGTATCCTATGATAAAAATGGGGGGCGAGTGTTAGGTGTGCCGCGTTACGACCCAGAAAACTACAATTCCCATAATTCGCGGTTTGGTTTCACTTTCAGAGGTCAGAGTTGAAATCCCTTAACTCTCGCTATTGAGAAGCGGGGTCTAGTGTACCCTCGGTGGGTGTGAAACAGCAGAAAGCAGGGGGGAAATATCCCCTTTAGCTGCCGTTATACTTGTATTGCTGAGTACAAAGCAGAAAAAAATGGCTAAAGGACAGTAGCCGACAGAGACGGTCACGGTCACATTGCCGAGCTCCGAAGGCTATCCAGCCAGCTGATAGCTTGTCAACCAGCTCCAGCCGATATGTTTGTGCAGGAGGAGAAGATATTCGCTGGGAAGGTGCTGAAAATCCATGTCTGTACCATGGAAGGCACGGAATGGCTGGAAGAGGTGCCAGAGGACACCACCATCGAGAAACTCAAAGAGAAGTGCTTGAAACATGTAAACACGCCGCCCGTCGTCGGCTGCGACCCGCTCAGGACGGCTTGACAGGACACCCGCTCCCACCGAAGTGTCTTAGCTTAGCTTAGCTTAGGCTAACTGTAGAATAGCGTAACCCACTTTACTGTAGCCTAGCCTGCCTTAGCCTGTACTGCCTGTCGCTTGGTATTTATAGACACTCGGATGGACACGGCTAATGGACCCCGCTAAAGTTCTTCTCGGTTTAACCAAGTTATCTAGCTTGGGCTGGTTAGAAAATCTTGGTGTCCCACGTTGGTCATTTCGAAAAGCCTAAATATTGGCGATTCACGCCATTTATATCCCTGTAATAACTTTACATGTGGAGTCCGGTCCTGCTAGCCACATTAGCGCTGACGTTTGCAATTCTTATACTGTAACAATTTGTTCCTTACAAAACTCGTCTCGTCGCTCTCCTTGATGTTATTGTAAATGTCAGGATACATGATATTTTCTGGGACAGTTACTTGAAAACCCTCACGTCTGGCTCGGTGTATTTCATCTCGTCCGTTTAAGAGTTTATATAAATTTGTGCTGTTGACTGTTCCTGCTGTCATTCTTCCATTATATGTATAATGGAACGTATCCTTTTAGCTTAATGTGACTCTGTAAGATGTAATGCATTGCATGCATGTCTGTTTTTAATTTGCTGTAGTATGTGCACGGAAGTCTAGAGGATCCAAAGACTGTTACACACCACAAACTCATCCATGCTGCTTCAGAAAGGGTCCTTACTGACACCAAAACTGTTGTGGAGGAAAATATCAAAGATAAAGGTACATTTGGAGAAGGAAATGTGTAAAGAGCATTATAAATATTATACAAACAAAGCTGGGCTGATACATTACCAAAAATGTATGTGGTTCATCAGTAGGTGAAAATGCATGACATCTTCATCCTTTCTTTGAACAGATGTTCTGCTTTTGGTGAAGAAGAGGCCGCCCCCAACCCCTCCAAAGATGACAGAGGTCTCTGCTGATGAGAAGGTGAATCAGAATTTGTAGCTGAAACAAATAGGACCTCTTAAAGCAGCAATTCAATTTTAAGAGTATATAGATCTACAATAGATCACATTTTAAGTACATTTTAATGATGAGGGAGTTAATGAGGTTGTTAAACGTCAGACCTGGGAATGTTTACTGTGAAATATTAATGCTCAAGATTACTTTTAGGAGCTACTGTAGTAATTTCATGGAAGTTCTTTCTGTGACCTTTCGATACACCCTTCTGTCCCACACCAGTGCTCCTCCCAGCTGCTTTCCATTGGACGTGTGCTAAAACGTTCATCCTCCCCCTGCCTGTCGTGATGTAAATTACAATAATATTTGAACTTTCAGAAGAAGCCGGACACCAAGGCTCCGGACAAAGACGCCATCCTGAAAGCAACGGCAGGCCTCGGAACGCTGCACACTGACCGTGCCGTTGCCTCACATAACGTTCGAGATGTGAGTTGGTTCTATGCTTTGCTGCTTCAAACAGAACTTCGTGATCTGTGAGTCACTTAAGCATGCCTTCAAAATAGACTAAAGGAGTCTTTTTATGTCCTTACGAAAGAAAATGTAAAATATCAAGGAACAAAATACACAGATGGCATCAGTTTTCACAGTGTGGGGGAATCGATGCCCACAGGACTTCTTGCTTTGATAAAAAGTTGAAATGCTTTATTTATGGCTGTGTGTAAGGCGAATGAGGTCTGAGATGTAGAGTGCTATGACAGGCATAGCTGCCTTGGCGTTGCTGGTCAGGGTTGTACGGGAGCCTGGTGACTATTTCAGGCAGCATAGGGCACAAGGTTGAGGTACACTGTGCAGGATGCCAGTTTATTGCAGTGCATGCACACATGCGCCGTAGGGCATTTACGGATGCCAGTTCTAACTGCATGTCTTTGAACTGCAGGAGGACAGCACAGCGCCAAGAGAAAACCCATGTGAAATGGATAGGACATGCAAAGTCCCCTCCCCCCCCCCCCCCCCCCCCCCCCCCCACAGGGTGGGATTTAAATTCCCAGTCCTGGAGGCATGAGGGAACACTATACTAAGTCAACATGTTGTATATAATAGAAGCTGTGCACCACATAGCTTCAGTGTTGTTGTTTTTTTTTCCCTGGACATCATGTTGGTAGTTATAGGCATTTGGTTAAATTGGAGCTGGCTGCGTGTTAGTTTGTAGGTCAGTTTGTATGAGACTATATGCAGTAAACCGTTGTCTGTACAGAATTTGCGGTAGTTTACTTTAATGTTTTGCAACAAACAGGCCGTCTCTGTCTCTATTATCATGATAGATGTTCAGACTATATGTTAATTTTGATGTAGGTAAGTAACGGTGTTTTGGTGACCCTTTTTCACTCTGCGATAGTTCCAGACAGAACTTCGGAAGATTCTTGTCTCGCTGATTGAGGTGGCACAGAAGCTGCTGGCCTTGAATCCGGATGCAGTGGAGCTTTTCAAGAAGGCTAATGGTAGGAGCTTTCACGTTTTGGGGGTTACATGTGGAAGTGAGTAGCTCATACTTGCTCCTAAGAGGTTACAAGGTTTATTTTCAGGGCTCCTGTGCAGTTTGGAAAACTTTGAAATTTGATTTAGGTGTTTTCCAAGTCTGGATAGGTATGGAAATATTTCAGTGTTTCTAGAATACTGCAACAAATTTGCCTACTATGTACTGATGCTCCTTGCTTTACTGTGGTTTGACATAATATTTTGACTTTAGATGGTGCGATAGTGATGCACATTCAGTAGTCAACTTTTGAATTTTCATCTATTCCCGAACCAGCGATATGCTGTACGATACTTTCACTTTCTACTGATACCGGGCGATGGCATCCACGCTTCCAGTGTGTATCAGTCATGAGCGTAAGCATCTCACATAGCGTTTTACAACATGTCGTACGGTGTGGTTTTATTTTTTTTGAGCGTTTAGCCAAATTTGTGCTGTTTTACTTTTCAATTTCTAGCAGTTAGAGTAGTTGTTTATCTTTTTATTCAGCGGCAGTAGTTATTTGCTTGATTTTTGTATCGTTCATATTTGACTTACAATATTTTCCGCTTGCGATCATCAGAACTAACTCCATTCTACGTGGAGGAGGATCTGTATTCTAAAAAAATGAAAATATCTAAATTTTCGTATGAATGAATGTGAGGTGGTTGTTGCCGCAGGAATGTGCATAGGACGAAACACTAAAGAACAACTTTATTGGTCTCTAGCAAGAAATGTTGACAACGTAGGCAGGAGTACTTTAATGCACTGGCCCCCCCAGGAATGAATCCCGGGGACTTCCGCTAAAAAGGGGCTTCCCAGCTGACAGCACCACTGGCTTGGGAATCTCGATGATATAACTGGTTGGCTAAGGATCCCAGATGTGAATGGAAAGCAAAATGCAAAGTGTGTGTAAAGTTGGAAAGTGAATAGGAACCGTGTCTGTTCTTTCTGCGCTTGTGGGGAAGTAGAGCCCAGTGAATGGATGTACATGTAGATGCATGAAGCTGTGTAACGCACAGTGGCGGTAACTTGATGTGTGACCCCCCTCTGTGCGGCACCCGCTTCACCATCTTCCGTTTCATAACTCTCGTTGAATATTGAATGGCCTGAGTGGTTATTTATAGAGGAGTGATTAAAGCGTTAGAGGACAGCGCTGACTTTAGCAGGGTGCTAAAACTGGTCTGTTGGGTGCTAAGTGAGTATTTCACATGGAACTTGCCGCTAACAATAAGGACGAGCATGAGATTTCATTCCTTTTTTGAACATTCGGCATTTTCCTCATGATGTATTGGCTGCAAGGCCCACTGTGTAACTAAATAGATAGATACTTTATTAGTCCCAAAGAAAATTTAAGAGGAGAAAGCGCACAGAAGAGTTAGAGCTACTAGATTGGCTACTACTTGCAGCAACGCCGGGAGTGATATCAAAGCTATAGCGTGAGAAGGCATAAAAATAACTTTGCTAACCCCTGCAGCCATGCTGGATGAAGACGAGGAGGACAGAGTGGATGAGACCGCGCTCCGGCAGCTGACTGAGATGGGCTTTCCAGAGAGCCGTGCCATCAGAGCACTGCGTCTCAACCAGTGAGTCCCATAAGACTGACTCCATTTCAGCTGACAGTCTTTCAGTTTTTTTTCCCTCCTTTTTCCTACCTTATTACATTTACATTTATTTATTTAGCTGAAGCTTTTGTCCAGAGTGATGCCCAGGTGAGGCAGGTAGTACGTTACAAGCATGCCGCTGTCAAGCAGCCAATCAGATGAAAGTGTGGCTTGGCTGAGTTTCCAGTGAGGGGCCAGTTACAAGTCCAGGTTAGCATAGCAACAGGAGCCGAACTGTATACTTCAAAATAATGCGAGAACGTAACAGATGTAAGAAGAAGTGTGTTAACAGAGCCATCAGCTGGCACCAGCTAAGAGAAGCTGGAAAGATGAGGATAGTAGATATGGAGGGAATCCAATTAAGCATTGAAATGTGATGCAGTGCCTCCCCGTTTCCTGCAGCATGTCTGTGACCCAGGCTATGGAGTGGCTGATCGAGCACATAGATGAGCCCACTGCTGACAGCCCCTTGCCAGGCCAGGACACCCTGGGGGCGGCAGCCGCAGCCATGGCTGCTCCTCTCCCTTCAATACCAGCCCCCGTGCAGTGTGGCACGGGGGATTCCAAGCAGGACGAACTCACCGAGGTCTTCAAGAGGATCCGCAGGAAACGGGAGTTCAGGCCCGATGCAAGGGTAAGCTGTCCAGAAGGTGCCGTTCTCCCGCGCTGGCCTGCAGCCTTGGGGAGGGGTCTTTCTGCGTCTGCGTCTGCGTCTGCGTACGGCCGTACGGATCACTGTGTTCCTCTCTGAAGTGAGGAGGTGTGTTCTTTGGCAGGCGGTTGTAGCACTGATGGAAATGGGCTTTGATGAGAAGGAGGTGATTGATGCCCTCCGTGTCAATAACAACCAGCAGGACGCAGCGGTGAGTGTGTGAGAAAGGGAAGAATTTGAAGGGAAGTCTTTCCACTTGAGTTCTTTGAAGTGTATATTTAAACTGAATTAGAAAAGTGGACAAATACATATGTAAATGTGTATCAAATATGAATTCTAGTCATCAAACTTTAGTCTTTCAGAAATTAATTGTAAAATGTACAAATTCAAATGTAAAGTTAATATAAGCTTTTTGTTTATACTTTCATACAAGCATTTACTTTCACTATTGTAATTATATTTAATCCGTGACATTTTATAGATGAAATTAATGTTACTTTCTGATTAAATAATTGGCAGACCCCATGTGGCGTAGTAACATGAAATATTCAAATGGCTGTATCAGATCTGCTTGTGCTGTCTGTTACGAATGTCTTTCAGTCCACAATACAACCTCCAGTTAACACTGTATTGTTTGAGATTCTGCTTTTCTTCCACGTCCCTTGGCCTTGGTCCTTCATCTGTATCAGCTATGCTGAATGGTGCTGTGTCACATGACCTTACTTGTTGTGTCCCTCCATCAGTGTGATTGGCTGCTGGGTGACAGGAAGCCCTCCCCAGAAGACCTTGACAAGGGCATTGACACCAACAGTCCCTTGTTCCAGGCTATTTTGGAGAACCCTGTGGTGCAGCTAGGCCTGACTAACCCCAAGACTCTGCTTGGTCAGTATCCTGAGCTCCTTTGTGTTTTACATTCTGACCTGTTTGACCTAAAATACTCGCTGATCTGTGCTATGACAAGCCTCCCAAAAGCAACTAAACAGTGACGCTGCAGGTATCCTCAGAACAACTTAAGTTTAATTCCGTATACTCTTAACAGTATATAATGGATGTTATTTCTGCAGTGTTCAGATACAGAGCAAGGAGGACTGGATGCAGTGTCCTACAGTCCTTCACACTAAACTTTTGTCCAGAACTGAGCACTTTGTGTGCCTCAACAATGCAACATCAACATCTGTCTGCAGTAGCATTTGGGGGAAAAACTGTGACCGTAGCAGAACATAAAGCATTGAACAAGGCAAAGATTGCTTCTGACACGACTTCCTCCTTGCAGCATTTGAGGACATGCTGGAAAACCCTTTGAACAGCACCCAGTGGATGAACGACCCAGAGACTGGGCCTGTCATGCTCCAGATCTCCAGAATCTTCCAGACTCTGAACCGCACGTAGGGCCCACAGGGGTGACCCAATAGGAAAGGAAGAGTAGAGGAGTGTTAGTGCTGGCTCATAACGGAGTAGCGTGGCTCATGGCTTTTGCTCATAACGGAGTAGCGGAGGTGTGTGTGTGTGGGGGGGTGTGTGCTAGCAGGTATGTGTGTGTGTACATGTGACTTTAATGTCATGTTGCCTTGTGCAGTTAACATTAGGGGATGCAGGAAAACAATTACAAATCAGTGGTCTAAAAGTTGAAATAACTATTTATAACGCAGGACAACTTTTTAAACAATGTAAACGTTAATATAATTATTGTTAGTTTTTTTACATTTTAAGAATGAATTTTAATTTAGCGTATTTTATTTATTTTCTCCTTACCTAAAACATCAGTCATCAAGCAGATGTTTACACTTTCATAAGGGTCTGTTTGTTCAGCGGTGATTATTATTATTTACCGCAGTTTGTTTTTCTCACTCATGATTTGTTTTACCAAAAATAAAAATCACAGGAGCCGAGTTCTTGTGGCTTGAAGCTTTGATTAGACGCTAAGGTACCGAACCTTCCCAGTGCAGTTTTCAGGTGAGAGGTTCGTCTGATCACCTGCAGACATCTGGCCAAGCCTGCATCGTAGAACTTATGTAAAACTTGAATGATGACCAGCAATGGCCACGAACAGCCCAGGTTAGGCTACCTATACTGGTGTGTGGTAGCAACCATAGACAGATCAACAGTTGAACTCTATTTCCACGCACAGTTTAAGGAATCTTCACTAACACATGAAAATGGGTCATCAAACCACTTCCTTAACCGTCTGCTGATCACTGGGGTTGTGGCCCCATTTAGTTTGCATTTATGTTTTCTTCCCAGTTCCCTGTAAGGATGGAAATTGCAGTGTTGAATATAAAACTGCAGTCGATTGATCACTATAGTAAGTGGATGCCTTCTTCAGATGGGTACATGTTCACTTGGTGGCTGAAGATGGCATCATCTATAGTTGCTACGCTTATAAATTAAAAATGCACCATGGAGTCAGAGCCGTAAAATATGAAGAGCAGAGTGGATATAATTCCTGCGAGGTGTAGGGAATATGGTGAATATGGTGGCTTTGTCTGAGCCAGCTCACTACATATTTAGCTCATTGGCAATTTAGGTACAGTGTTCATATCAATAAAATAGAGAAAACTTGTTTAAAAGATAGGTATTTAAATTTCTTAACAAAAAGCTCTGGGAAACAGCCATAGTTATGGCAAATGTGACCGGCTCTTACCTCACGATCTAAGGTTTCTTAATACAACACGTAATATTGGGGAGAAAAGCAGCTGGCTGAAGAGAACAAACGCAAGTGAACTGACTTTGGGTGCTGCCATTATTTTTGTTTTATTTTCACATTAGTATTTCTGTTACAGAATGTGCAGCAGAATAGCCGTCCATCTAGTGCCCCCATATTTGGTATGTGAGCAGCCCAGATGGCAAACCAATAAACACCTTATAGCAGATCAGATTCCCTCCCTGGGTCAAGCAACATTAGGACCTTGCAGAACTTTTGAAATTCTTTTTGGAAATAGCTGTACTTTTACATAATCGTGCACAAATATTTGTTAGAATTCTGCTTGCCATGCCTTCATTTCCTGGTTCATTTCTGTTGACTAATGTCTCAGATGTTTGTAGTGGTCAAAGGAAAATGAAGTGGTTGCTGATATTTGAAGCAAACAAAGAATGTTTAGGGTAGCAGCCAAAGTCTTTAGTATGGTTGGCTGCAAATTTTGATGAAATTTGAAATTATTATACTAGAGCTAGTTACCTGTCTAGATTGGCAGTATGGTAGAACAGTATCATTGGCATCATCATCATGAATCACCACACAGTTCTAACATTTGACAATGCAGCGGGCCTGTCAATAGTTTGTTACACTAAAACACCTGTCTGTAAAGTTAAATATCACAGTTACAATAGTTTTCACAAAATAAAACTTTTCCTTTGATTTTACAAATATGAACCTGTCATCATTCACCTTCAGTTTGGTGTGTTGATGTTCTGAAATTCTGTATGCCAAACCAAAAGAAGCTTTGTCTGTGGTTTTACTTCTTTACCTCCTGTCACAGTTCTGTGAGCTAAATATGGCGATTTCAGTAACGGGCATTTGATCTTTCTTGAGTTTGTAAAGCCTAGGACCAGTGCGTTATGCATCTGGGACAACTAAGACATGCTGATCAGCACAGACCTAATGTGGTCTACCCTGAAACAGTGCTGTGATGCAGCTAACAGGCAATCGCACAGAACGTTATGACTCAATAGGCAGAAATTGTCCTAGGCTGTGTGGAGTTGTAAGTTGACTGTTTACTAATGTAGTGTTTTTTCGGCAAAATGAACCTGAGAGTGAGATAAAATGGTGTATGAAAAAGGGATAGTGATAGAAGGAATAAAAAGAAGTTCCTAGGGACATCATCCCAGTAAACCTATCCCCACTGTCCTCCATTTATGGCCTCCAGGTGAGTGTTATTAAAGGCCTGTCAGAGCATTGGCCTTTAATACATGAGCACTTGTGAATTGAACCTCTTGTGCCTCAAGTTTGATTCAACCGTTCTCAAACTGGTCAGAGGTTTGAAAACATTTCTTTAGCAAATTGATTAGTGAGTAACCACACATTTGTTGGTTCTGTAGTGTTGCTTAACTTGGCATGTTTTTTTAATTATTATTGTTAAAGAAGGGCCCCTTAAAAGGGTTTGGCCAAGAACTTCACTTTCAAAAATGTATAATTCCACCTTCTCGGGTTGAATGGGATGCTTCTCTGGGACTGTTCATCTCATATTTGAAGCTAAACCACTGCTCATTTTGCTTTAAAATACACTGAAATTGAGTTCCAGATAGCACCTTTTATTTTTTTTTATCCAACTAAGAAATGGTTTAAAGATCACATTCTTTGGAAAAAAAAAAATGTGTGGGTTTCTTAAAGTGGATAGTTCTGTTCATGTTGCATGCTGGAAATGTTATACATTTATGATCGTTGAACATTTGAATATACAATTCAGAGTGATGCTGATCTGTGTTCATGCAGTGATGAAAGGTATCTCTCAGTCCTTGGGCCATTGATATCAGAGTGTTCTTTGTCCCCAATGGTCTACATTATATAAATTGTCCCAGTACTGTACAAGTCTACATTCTTAAACTTTTACATACTTTATGAGACTTAGTACTCCCATTGTGTCTTGTGGCATTGTACCAAGGTAGTATTCTATGCTCTAATATTCCTACAGACCTGTGGGGAAAAACAGTGTAAGAAACTGGTTTTATTTGAATAACTATTATAAGGAGTGTGGATGGAAAAAGGAATCCTAACTGCTTCCCAACCCTTTTCTATTCCCAAGCCGGAAGGTGCCAGTTTCTCACCCGGTGGTTCCATTCCAAATGCGGAATGGAAATTCATGATTAACATGATTATCATTCATCCTGCCTGTTTACCCAAATTCAGCAGGTTAAAAAACGGTGACCTATGCAAGTAATCTTTACTCACCAGTCACAGAAAGAGCCATGATGCTTTCTCTGTTGTATTCCTTGAAATTTTGTACAAAGCCCATGGTTTGTGGTGAGAAAATCAAATCAACAATCAAGTATAATGGAGGAAACACTTGAAGAGCAACAATTAAGGGCACGTGTAGTTTTGATTTTCTGGTTTGAAAGTGTTCATGTGTAAGCAGTGCTTTTCAGTGGCGTGTGTAGTAATAGCATGTGTTTCACTATCAGGAGCAGTACAGTCAGTTGAACAGCACAGCCTAGTCCTGATTTCATCATTCACCTCCGACTTGTTGGTAGCTGACAAGCAGATTTCTACAGTCCCCAGTTTGCAGGATTCTGTATGTGTCTTTTATTTTTAATCTGAAACGGTTTGCTTCTAACCCGTGGGATGTTGTGTGATGACGTTTCTTGTTTGATCACTTCCAATAAAAGACGACATTATAAATGAAAAAACTGTCTCTCTGCTTGTCTACCACGTCCTCCCAGACATCTTGCTCAATAGTAAGATTTCACTGTTATCAGTTGTTAATACATTTTGGTTAGTTTGGCAAATATTTGTTTTATTTTGGTGTATAAGTTATAGAAGATCATAGGGCTTCATCTGCTTAGTGCTAAAACAATCTTAGTTCTTATACAATCAGGTTGATTTGTACTATTTTACTATATAGAGAAATTAAGGCATATTAACGGCGCTAAATATTTCAAACATTACGTCCACTTTAACAAAATCACATTAGCTTCATCGAGCTGTATGTGTATGAAATACATACAGAATATAGATGATACTTTGCCATACGAATCCTATGCATGCATAAGGGGACTTTTGGAAAGCTGCCTTTTAGCGCGACAGATGAATTGTCCCCGTCATTCCAAGGCGGAGGATCCCAGCTTCTGTTCGCGCATCAATGATCCTGCGGCTGCTAGCACAACTCGCTGAAACTAGACCATAGCAACGCGCGCAGCGGGAACGCGCCTCGGATCTAGCGGCAGCCTGGCGTTACGCGGTTAGCTAGCTGTATATTAATATAACGTAACACCAGTTTAGTTAACAGCGATTAAATGCTTCGCAAAGGCGTGTTGTATAACTTACGCTGTGTCGACGGTTACCTTCGCACATGATTGATGTGCAGTATAGCTGCTGCCATACGAATTTAAGCTGTGACAGTTGGAGGTGGCCGCTAGGTAGCTGCGCTTTCCAAACAGATGGGAAGAAGTTATGAAAATTCACGCAAAAATGACTACATAACAACTAAAAAGTTCGCTTAACAGCGAGACGGTGTACTAAGCCAGCTAACTGGAGTGTTGTATCTACTTTCCTGACTTCTTGTGTGGTCAAATGTACCCTAACTGGCTAACTTTTATAACTTTGAATAGTCTGGGAAGTGGAATAAAAGGAAATACATTCAGACTGATTTCAGGTGAATTAAGCGCAGAGTGTTACGGAGCGCCAGCAACGCCGGACATGGCTGTATAAGAGACGGGCTGTCTGCTAGCTCTATGAGGGGCGATACCAGGAGGTGTGTGTAGCAGCCCTGGAGATGGTGCCCGTCAGAGGACATCTCTGGCCCTTTCTCGCAGCCGCTCCCATGTCCTCTCTGTTTACCGCGTTTTAGGGGACCTCCGCCGGTCTCTGGCGGCGGCGCTGGAAGTGGCTCCCGTGAGACAGTGCCGCGGAGGATGGAGTACAGAGTCGGCTACACCTGGAACAGGGGAGGGAGGCTGAAGGAACTCAGAATAAGGTACGGAGCGGGTCTGTGAGGGGCGCCTTTTCTGTTTAACTGGCTCTGTCATTACATTTTGTTGACAAGTTGAGCATAGTAACGTAACGTAGGGTTGTCACTTACGCATCTGGGTGTGTCTCTTTCAGACTCTCGCGCCCACGTAAGAAATCTTACGGCAAATCTACAATATTCAATTATAAACCTAAAATTAGCTACGTCAAAAGCGTTGGGGTAGTTTGCAAACCCTACAGACTATCTATAAGGTAACAAGTAGTAGTTGTAGTAGTAGAAGAGCATTATTGTCATCTCAACCACAGTGACACGAAATAACGTTCGCCAGGGACCAAAGGTGCAACGTACAACACAACAGCACACTCAGATAGATCGACAATGAGGATAATTGGGGTGGAATAAATACCTGTACATATATATCTAAATATACATATACCTAAAAAAATAAGATAAAACTATCTAAAAAGACTTTTAGGAGGGGGAGCACATCAGAGAGCCTGTGACAATACAATAAACGTTATCGCAGGTAGCCTGGATAGAACTGTTACATTCATGTAAATGCACGTGCATGTGTGTGCAGACTTGTCTGGAATGGAAAATCTCACTCCAGCCAACTAACCAAAGGTGCTGACACTGGAAACCCTGGCAACCTCCAGACTGGCTGTGATGTAATTACCGATTAGTAAAGCAATCAGTCTGTCATACCTTATCTGCCTGCAGACATCTGGCACGGAAGTTCTGGTACCTGTGGATCTGGAAGACGTTTGGCCGGGTGCATCCATCCAGAGCTAGGTAGTAGAAAGCCAGAAGGGTTTTAAAATGTTTTTTTAAGAGCTTTTATTCAGTATGTGGGAATATATACAACATCGCCACAAATTAGTTTGTTGACCATCCTACAGGTGTCATCACCGGAGAGCAGTCCTGCAGAAAGCTCTGGATGGATGGAAGGAGGAGTGGTGGATCAGCAGAAGGGAGTGGTCACTGTCTGTGCGTGCGGACTGTCATTACAGGTGGGAGGTTTATAGTTTAATGGTTTTTGTAGTCTTAGACTGCCCCTGGACCACATGGTTAGTGACCTTGTGCTGATTTGTGTTTTTTCTAGGTACCATCTGTATAACCAGGCCTTTTCTGGCTGGCAGGAGTATGTACGTATGAGGGAAGAGAAGAGAAGAATGTTGAAAAAAGCAGAAAGTTACGGTAAGGATATTGTACGTGTCACTCATGTATTTTGTGTCAGCCAGCCTAAGTTGACAAGTATTAAATCCTTTATACTAAAAAGGTGCACAAATGCAATAATTTAAAGGAACCTGGTTCCAAGTAAACTCTGCGTTAAAATGGCGTTATTTGTGTCTGAATGGGGTCACCGACTGAAGATTCTGTGCCGTTTGTTCAATCCTGTTATACAGCTTCGAGGAGAGAGCATAATGAGGTCTGTTTTATTGCAGCTGAGGGACAGAGGCTGGCCAAGGCTTGGGAGAGCTGGCAGCTGTACTTGGAGGTGCGGAGGATCAAATTACGGATGCAGGAGAAAGCGATGCAGCAACGAGAGCATGGAGTCCTGCGGTGAGACAGCCTGCTGTGAGGTCTATTTCCTTAATACCCTACTGTGAAGCCGCAACTGGTCAGTTTGGCTATTTTATGAAGGTTGTCTTCAGGGTAATCATGGTAATGCATACTTCATTTGTGGTATAAAGGTTAAAACAAATGGTCATTTTTTGTCATAACAGCGCAAATGCATGCGTATTTTGCGTGCATTTGCGCTGTCATGCCAAGAAATTGCCACATGTATCGCTTTGTACACCAAATGCGTAGTTGTGTGCCAGTTATGTGCATCTCTAGCTATAATGTAGACTGCAAAGGGAAAAGATCTGGATGATCTAATTTAAGACTGAACAAGCATGCCATTTTTCTTTATGTAGGCCAGCTGTTTTGGGGACATTGGAATACCTATCCTAGAAGTATTCTGGAGGCATGGTTGTCTGTTTGGCACTATATGTATGTTCTTGCTGCTATATGTACCAGAATTTATCCCTGGGATCAATAAAGTTAATCCTATTCTTGATCTTAAATGAATTAAGGTTAGGCCCAGATAACGTTCCATCAACAGCAGAATAATTCATGGAAAGAAATGAGCTGAAATGGCATCTTTTAATTAATTGGTGGTGCAGTCTGTGATGGAGGTTGTTTGCTGAGGTTAGCTGCACGCCCTGTGTTGGATGTGCACATGTGACACATCGCCTGTTCCCTTGTTTTGCTTTACCGCAGATCTGCATGGAGCCGGTGGAGGAGCCGCCTGCAGCTACGGCAAGATCAAGGCCTCATGGAAGAGGCAGCCCTCCAGCACTGGGCCCTGGCCCTGCAGAGTCGGGTGAGCAGCCAGAAGAGTTTTCATGCCTGTGCATCTGCATCTGAGACTGTAGATATGAAGTGCCTGACACTGCAGAGTGTGTTCTAGGTGTGGCTGCAATGGAAGGTGGTCTACTTGCAAGCCATCAGCCAAAGAAATCAGGAGACCAGAGCTGCCCAGCATTACAGCCGTGGGCTGAAGAGATTTGCTCTTCAGGCTTGGGCCAGATACCTACACTACCGTCAAGTCAAGAAGAAGCGGCAGGGTATGTATCTGCCAGAGCACGCTGTTATTCTACTTAAGCAAGTCAATGTAGTTTTCCAAACACCTTTAGGTTGGGCTCTGACCGCTGTTCATGCCTGTCATCGGTGCATTCCAGCCACTCTCTAGCACTCCAACTTCTGCAGTAGATTGTGCTTTGTAGCATCCTGAAGTGGTGATTCATCAAGGAAAAATAAAAAAGCAGATTACCTGGGGGTGGAGAATTGAATAGGAGGGGCACATGTCTGTTTTTTGACAGCTGTAAACGCTTCATCAATTGCTTAAAAATTCCTATTCTTCCAGTTTAAGTAGGAGTTCCATTACTGGCATGATTTGCCTTTGGTATACAGAGTTATCAAGGAGAAACACATTGGGCTTTAAGGCCTGGATTTTATACTTAAATACATTATATAAACAGTAACTAATTGTCAGTGAGTCTTGCTTGTTCTTACGGTTGTTTTGTTTTTTTGGTAGATTTTGCATTCTTGCACCCTTATCATGAGTCTTTGTACCTGTGCTTCTTTGCAGCTGAAGCCAAACATTTGTGGCAGCTGAAGGTGCTGTCCCATTGCTGGCACATGTGGCAGGATGCCGCCTGGCGTGAGCAGCAGCAGAGGGACAAGTGGCAGGTGGTGGCCACGTTGGCACAGCGGAGCAGGCAACGCCGCGCCCTGGTTCGCTGGACAGCCTGTATCCTCTTTGTACATAATGACAGCTGATTGTCAGCATGTATCTACATTGACATCCATAGCTCCCTTTTTAAAAATCAAGTGTCTTTGGGGTGGAAAACTAAAATACGTTGGAGCCTCTGGTATGACTGGTAGTGATCAAGGCCCTGTGGAGCCTAATGTGACTTTAGTAACTGAGGGTTCATGCTCTTTCCTGAGCTTCTAAGTAGACATGGGGCTGCGTCCGGAGCAGAAGGAGAGGGAGCAGATTGCGATGGAGCACGACGGCAGGCGGCTGTTGGTAGGGTAGTGACCGCTGTGTTAGTGGCGTGCGTCAGCGTTGCCCGTCTTCCCAATCGGCTTCCGCTGTCTTCCTGCAGCACCTCGGATTCCGGCTGCTGGCCTGGAACGTGCGTGAGAGCAAGGCCCGGCGGGTCAACCAGATTCTAGCCCTTCGGCAACACCAGCACTGCGTGAGTGCTGCCCGTTTGGGTTAGAGCGCGATGCACTCGTTCATTCCTGAGGGCACGTGTTTTATTGTCATTTATTTGTCTAGTCACCATTTTTTGAAAGTTAATGTAAATATAATTTATTGGCTTGGATGTAAACATAATTAATTTGCCTGTGTGTGTGTGTGTGTGTGTGTGTGTGTGTGTGTTTTTTCTTTAAACAGTTGACTGTCCAGTTTTGGAAACACTGGCAGCAGCGTTATGAGGAAGCAGAGGAAAGAAAGCTGCAGCCAAAAATGGAGACGGCCTGCAGACATTACAGGTAGCCCTTCCCGGTCAGGTAGACCCATCAGTCCCTCATGACTGTTTGTTTGTCCCTGCAGTTATTTACTTTTCCAGCTGGGTTGGAAATCGCCTGAAACATCAGAAAACTGTATCTTAGGACAAAATGTTTAAATTTGTAAATTCTTTCTGAATATTCCTCCAATCCAAATTGCTGCTTTTTGACACAAAACTATCAAAGTACATTTGAATAAATCATATTTCCATATTTGGAGGGCAGGTTATTTTGAATCGCTGCGCATTTCATAGTCTCTAACTGTCAGATGATCATGAAGACGTACACATTTAATGTCGTATTTTTCCCACCCACTTCTCAAACTCTTTATACTGTTTTTTTTTCAGTCTTTCAGCACATTTCTAACAGTGTTTTACATGAGCTCTGTGTGTTTCTCTGTGTGTGACCAGCACGGTTCTGCTGAAGTCCTCCATTCGGCGCTGGACAGAGTACGTGACAGAGCACAGGCTGGCACAGGTCTGTTCCTGTCTTCAGCAGACGGTCCCTGAGCACACTTACACAGGCATGCTGGGACTGCACTTTGTTCCAGCATGTGTACAATGCCGTACAAAGGCCAAACACCGTAACTGCATATTTTATTGAAACTGAGTTATGACCGAAATAGGTCTCTTAGGCTCTGTTTTATCACGACAAAACATTTTACTTCATCTAACTTCACAGTTTGAAAGAAAAAGGAGTGTGAAAATTACAGAAACTACAAAATCCAGATGAAAACCAGGACAAAACAATGAAAACACCACTTTTCTCAGATTCCCTGTAGGCGTAGTCATGGTGTTTTGCCTTTGTAGGGCAGTATAAGTGTACTCAGTGGTTTATCCCCGGGATCCATATTATTCCTTGCTTAGTCACGACCCAAAGTCACAATGAAACTTGTTCACCCGGGGGGGGTGGCAACCGTGAAAGTTGTTGTGACCCCACCAGTTGAGAAACTGGGTATTCTTATACCCGCGCGTAACTGAATTTGCATTAAATGCGGAATACTTTGAAACCACTCTGTGGTGCTGAGACTTTGACAGACAGTTGAGCTGCTTAGAGGAGAGGCGAAAGTGCTGGTAGCTTTAGTGAGGGTGCGTTACGCCGTGGCAGGAGATGGAGCAGAAAGCCCAGGCCTGCTTTGTGAGACGGGTTCTGCCTCGGTGTCTCGGAGCCTGGGTGGAGTTTGCTGCTAGGCGGAGGCTGACCAGAGAACAGAAGGAGGTGGCAGAGGTCTACAGACAGTGAGTAGCATCCTACTTATTAGCTACACACTACTTACAGTATGTTCACCATTTGAGTACTTTTATTGGCAAGAAAATGTCATCTTTGATTCATCAAAGTAACCTCCTCTAGCAGTTATAACAGCACAGAAAATTCATGGCATTCTTGGTACAAGGGACATTAAATACTGCTCTGTTCCATGGGATTAAACGGTTAACTAGTGCATTTAAAGTTAAAGGACAGCCTAGAATTTGACTCTGCCATCACCACACAACCAGTTAATAGGATGTCAGACATGCACTCTTACATACTGTCTCTGTGCCTTAAAGGAAACTTGTTTTGTTTGACTTTTATTTTCATTTATAGTTGTTCACGCAGTTTTCCAATGCTTAACAAGAATAAAAAATGTACGGTTTATGAAGTAAATGGAAAAGTGGTAAAACCTGTGGTGTACGAAAACTTTCGACTTGTAGTGCACGTTGAAAACACCTGCGAAGGTTTCACTGTCCTCCGTATGCTGTGTTCCAGTAGCAAGTGGCAGGTTTGTGTTGTATGCTGAGTACTAACAGTGAAAGGCCAGAAAATGGAGAATGTGTGAATGTCTAATGTTTAGAAAGGAGCATGTGACTGACGCAGTGATTGTACGCAGTACCCCAGCGCATGTGTCTACGTGTCTGTCTGCTTTAGGCAGCAAACCTACAGCTGGGTGTTTTACACCTGGTGGGAGCGTTCGGTGGAGCAGAGGGAACTTCGACTGGCAGAGAGGATGGTAAGCCGGCCCTGCCACACAGGTCTTCCGATCGATTCACCCGTTAGCCGTTAGCTAGCCGCACAGTGCCTTCCCTGTGTTCTGTCGGTCTGGTTCCTAGTCACCCTCTTCTTGTCAAACCAGGCCATTCTACACGCGGAGCAGTCAGTGCTGAGGCAGGCCTGGGAGCACTGGCGACGCAGAGCAGACGAGGACCGTCTGCAGCAGGAGAAGCAGGTGTCCGCAGGGCAGCTGTACCTGCACACGCTGGGACGCCGCACACTGAGGGAGTGGAGACTCAACGCCACCTTAATGCAAACTGAGTGAGCACTGCAGTTATAACATGACGTTAGGGGCATCTGGGATCCATTTGTAGTAATTCAAATAAGTTAATCAGTGGGGCAGCATGGTGGTGCAGTGGTTAGCACTGTAGCCTCACACCTCTGGGACTAGGGTTCGAGTCCCCATTCTGGCTGTGTGTGTGTGGAATCTGCATGTTCTCCCAGTGTTATTTTGGAGTTTCCTCCAGGTAATGGGAGTTAATGGGAGTTACCAACAGCTCTGTTGCACTCATAATTGTGAATGGTGTGTGAGTGTGATCTGTGGTGGGTTGGCCTGGGTTGCCTTGCACTGGGTTGTTCCCTGCCTTGTACCGTAGCCTCTGGGATAGGCTCCAAACCCCTGTGACCCCGCATAAGGACAAGCGAGTACAGAAAATGGGTGGAAGTTAATCAATCTGCTTATGCAAAGTGTTTGCATTTTTTTAGTGCACACCACTAAATCCTGGTCTGTTTTTTTATACAGGAGAGAAAGAATGAATCAGGCGCTGAGACATTATCAAATGTTCTGTGTGAGACGGGCCTTAAACTGCTGGAAAAAGGTAGTGGCCTTAATTACATTCAGTTTTAATGTGGTAAACTGGCATGCCTATCCTCTCTGATCCCTGTTTGACTAGGTATTGTTTGTTTACTTCAATTCTGTTTTAAAATTATTTCATATTGTTGCATGTTCACTGCTCTTTTTATAACTCTGCAACACTAGTAGTATTTATTATGATATCTACAGTATAATAACCATATAGCATACTGCTATAAGAGATATAGCAGTCTTTGCTGTGCATCCCAGTTTACTCAGAGTAGCTTCATGTGTGTATCTATTTCCATTAAAATAGTCAGCCACACAGTCTGTATGTATGTGCATTGCAGTATGTCCAGTGCAGGAAATCGAAGGCTAAGCAGGTGGAGCGGGTCCATGACCACTACACCAGCAGGCTGCTGACAGGCGCTCTGGAAGGGTGGAAGGTATGTACGTGTGAACTTCTGGTAACGCTTTACATTAACTGCACCTTCATAATGCATTCATAATACATTCATAGAACATTCAGTGCACCTTCATAATGCATTCATAAAACATTCATAAGCAGCATGCAAGTACACCTTAACATCCTAACATCCCTTAACTGCTTTAAGATACATCAATAACAAACATTACATGATTATACAATTATGTTTGTTCTTATTATTTAATGTTTGTTACTAATGCATATTACAGCTGTTAAGGGATGTTAGGATGTTAAGGTATGCATGCATGATGTTTATGAATGTTTTATGACTACTTAATAAATACATTATGAAGGTGTACTGAACATTTCATGAATGCAATATAAAAGCATTATGAAGGTGCAGTTAATGTAAAGCGCTACCGAGCTTCTTAAAGTCCCCGGTGTACGTGTGGGTGTGTTCTGGTGCCCAGAGAAATCTGTAGGGGTAGCTGCTTGCTACTGTTTTAGAAGCCACTTTACAAATGTATTTGTAATTATTTTCCTTTCCATAAAACCGTGAAACACAAGCTTTTTAGCTCCACATTTACTTGCTTCTGGGAACCAGTTTTGTGTAGAAATGACCCTGAAGGTCCAGTAGGGGGAGCTTTAATCTCTCTGCTTGCAGGGTTACCACCAACAAAGACAGGCAGTCTACCACACCGTGGAGGAGTTAGAGAGAGGACAGCACCAAGTCCTGCTCAGGTACCATCATCACCAATATTTTACAAAAACCTGGCGCAAATGGGAAAACTAACGTTTGTTTCTTTTGTTTTTCATTAAACAACATAGTGTTCTATATAACTAAGAAGCTGAGCTGGTGCTATGTTTAGACAGCATTTATCATTTTGTTATCTGGAAGAACTCCAAGGAAAGGAAGGAAGTAGAGGAAGGGAAATCAAGAACAATGTTCTGCCTGGCAGCAGAGGGACCTCCAGTGAAATGACTCTGGTCTGACCCTGTCTCTCTGTGCTGCTGTTTAAGGGAAGTGCTCAGTGTGTGGAGGAGGAACACAGTTCAGCTGGCGGCAGAGAGGATTCAGTACGAGGAAGCCAGTCAGCACTACCAGCACTGCCTTCTGTCAAAGGTGACCGGCGGCCTGGGCAGCTGTGAGGGGTCACGTGACCCGCGTCATGATCGGGGGCTGTGTGAGCACACGGACATTGAACCCGCGTGTCCGACGTCTCTCCCCACTAATTGCTTGCTCTGCAGTCCTTTCAGGCATGGAGACAGACCAGCGAGCGTTTGCTGCTGTGCCGTCAGCAGCAGTGCGAGATGGTGAGGCGAGCCCAGGCTCAGATTCAGCGAGGTGAGCATTGGGGGGACGTTTCCCTCTCCTCAGCATCCACCATCCTCAGACTCAGTTTGTATATGTAACTGCAGTGTTGTATATGCAGTTTTCAGAGTGGTACATGTAGCAATCTTGTATCTGTGTGTGTGTGTGATTTTTTCTTGTTTGTTTTCTCCATTTATTTAGGTGCTCCCAAATTCCTCTAAGAAATGAATAAAGTAGTTTGGTTAATAAGACAAAAAATACATATTCAGAGAGGGAGAAATGTGTCTAACCTGCAGTCACAACAGAATAATACACAGATAATGTTTTTGGGATCAAGGGACAGGTGGAAGCAATCAGCACACATACTGTAGCCTGGTCACCCCCCCTGCTTTTTACCGAGATTTTGTAGATTTTTTTTTAAGTAAGTATGCGTTGTCTCCCTCTTCTCTTTCCCTCTGGCCTTGTCCTCTTCAGTACTCCTGCGGCAGGTTTTTAAGCGATGGAGGGAGAGGAGTAGGGCGCTGGTGGAGGAGAGGACTGGCATGGAAAAGGCCAAGCAGCATCACCGGGCAGTCCTGCTAGGACGTGCCCTGCAGGTGTGGAAGCTGTACCATCACAGGAAGAAGCGTCTGTGGGTGAGTAAGTTTAGACCAGAGTGGGTGGTGGGCCGCTCGCCTTCAAAGCAGAATCACTCCGTGAATGATTTAGTGCAGCCTATCTATAGCAGAGAGAAACACAATGAAAATGTTGTTTTTTTTAATTCCATGAAGGAATAGAAGTACTTGTATCTTTTTAGACCTTTTAAAAATATTATTTAACTATGTATGGCATGCTTGATTTATATTGATCAAATTTAACATTTACTTACTCATTATTAAAATGAGACATCATGATGTATTCGGCAGTGCTGCAGATTTAAGTGTAAGGTTACCCAGGCGGTCTCTCTGGCTGCTTATTTGTGTCTCTGTCGTTTATGTCCATGCTGAAGATCTTAAAGAGACAGGCCACCTGCTTGCTGACTCACAGAACCTGTCTGCGATACTTGACATGCTGGAAAACACAGGTATGCTTACAAAGTGACAGAAACTCAGTAGGTCTTTTTCCAGGGCTCTCCAAAACTCTGTCATTCATTACCTCAGTCTTGCTTTGAAATTATGAGAGAAATTTAACCTTTTACTGAGATCCCTTATGAAACATATTATTTCCTCTTTACACATGTCGCAATTATTGGCAATGCTGAAAATTCTCATGATCACCATATTCTCCTTCTTATGTTACCTTTTACAAGCACATCTTGGGCAAGGGTGTCAATAATTCTGGGGGGGGGGGGCACTGTATCACCACACACAATACTGTCTAAATATTTGTTTGCCCGGAACTGATGATTCAGTTCTCAAAGCTCTGTTGCTTCAAGGGCAGCAGTGAGGAAAAAAAAAAGTAATTTCAGCTTTGTCATCTTCTTTGTCATTTTCACTCTCCTTGGAATAGTCATTTTGGTTTTAATAAGTCATTGCACTTGTTTTGGGTGGGTTTGGTAGTCTGACAGCCATATGATTCATACACACAGCTGCAGCTCAGACAGAAAGAGGCGGAGCTTACTGAGGTGGCGCTCTGGCATTGGTCTCTAAACCTACAGGCCAAGGTAACTCCTGCTCTTTCACACGTCACCATCAGCGTCATGTAAAGTTCCTCCAAAACTCATAACAAGTATTTACTTTTGGAGTGATGTAACTAGGGAGATATGATTCTGATTTACCATTAGAAATTGTTAATTGTATTAAAACTAATATATTTTTTACAGTTTCTGATGTATCTGACCCTTTGTGCTACACCTATCGCCTTGTATTAATTTTTCGGTCCAACTCGGACGTGGTTATTTATAATTATTAATATTATCCGAAAGTGCGTAGCTGTGGGGCACGATGGCTCAGTGGGTGGCGCTGTTGCCTTGCATTTCTTAGACTGGGGGTTAAGGGATGTTAGGATTTAAAGGTAAACATGCATGACGTTTATGAATAACTTCTGAATACTTAATGAATACATTATGAAGGTGTACTGAATGTTTTATGAATGCAATATAAAAGCATTATGAAGGTACAATTAATGTAAAGCGTTACCGTTTATTTGAAGATTTTTTAAAATTTATTTTGATTTGGCATTTTTTTAAACAGTATTTTATTAAATTTCAGTTGCACTTCTAAGAAGAGGACACGTTTTGCACAGTTTAGAAAGATAAAGGAATAGTTTTGAATAAATTGGTCTACAACTCATTCTGTTAAAAAATAGTGAGAAAATCGTATTGTGAACTCAGAATCGTGAATCGTATCGAATCATGAGTTGAGTGTATCGTTATATATCCCTAGTGGTTAACTTTGTCAGCCGCCGCCGTCGTCGTCTTTGGCTTATTTGAACATGTCATTCCAGGTGTTGGACATCTGGAAAGACTGGGTCAGAGAGCAGCACCGAAAGCGCCACCGGCTGGGCCAGGCGGTTCAGCTCTACCGGGATGGGCTGCTGAGGGAGGGGGCGGTGCGCATCCTGACCTACACCACGGACATGAGCTCCTTCCGGGCCAGCTCGTCCCAGCAAACCCAGGAGCAGGTGGGAGCCAGGTCGCCATTACCGTTACCGGTGTGACCGGACCCGTTACAGGCTGTAGCTGTCGGTTCTCCCACGATTGCCCTTTTCTTTTTGATGGCTATGTGTGCTGCGTAGCTATGTAGCGGCGTGTGCTTGGGCATCTCTGTTCTAGGATTTCCTCTACTAGTTCAATGCCTCCCTGAATGTTCTTAACGTTGCACTTGTCATTGAATTGTCTTATAAGGTTCTTGCTTTGGGAGATGTTGTGTAGCTCCTGCTCCAATACAGCTTGGGCATTCACTGGAAGCTCAGCCTAGCTGCACCTACACCTAGTCAACTCCTCAACAGCTGTATGTTTGTAATGTGCAGTTTGCCTTGTTTGTATGTTGCTTTGGACAGAAGTATCTGCTAAGTAAAAATTTATGAATTCCTTTTTTTTTGACAGCAGTTTAGTTATGTAGTTTTGTAGCCTGTAAGTGTGTGCAGACATGCTTGTAGGTGATTGTGTCCGTGGTGTGTATCTGAGTCCGCCTGAGTTTGCCTGTGTCCCGCAGAGCTCCCGGAAGCTGCAACGGGTGGTGTGGCGCTGTGCCATGCGCTGGAAACAGCGAGCCCTGTGCCAGGCGGGCAGAGCGGCGGGAGGCCCGTCCAGGAAGAGGGTCTCTTTCAGCCTCCCTGTGCCCCCGGCCGGTAACACCAGCATCCCCTGGAGCCGCGAGGCTGAAGGAGGAGCCGGAGAAGAGCACACAGCAAGTCAGATGTGAGCGCGACCGACGCTGTGGCTGCTATTCTGCGGGTCACCAGGGGCTTACAGCAGCTGCGTAAATACGGGCTCTGATCGTTAAACGGGAGTCGTGAAGGTGCTGTGTGGTTGCAGGCTGGCAGCAAGGGCTGCACGTCTGCAGCCGCGCCGATCCGAGCATCTGCTCTACTCTCTGGATACAGAGCCAGCGCGCAGTGCTGCACAGAGCAGGTACTCACCAATACTGCCTGCATACTCACAGCATGTACTCCACAAGCATGCACTGATTTTATGATTGGTACAAGTCAGGGTTATTATCATTATCATACAATAACTAATTGAAAACATTTTCATAAAATCAAATAAAACAAATAAAAACTAAGCGAAACCTAGAAATGTTGCATCTGAAACTAACAAATAAAATTAAAACAAACGTCAAATACTTTCCATTACTGTTTAACTAAAGTAATGATTTATCTTTAATTACCATTAATACCTGGAACATGTTTTACCCATTTTGAGGACATTAGTACATAATATGTGCTTTGTATTCACATAGGATTCTGCAAAGATCAGACACATAAAATAGCTCTACAACTTTCAGTCTATCTCTAGAAATAAAATTACTACAAAATAAACAAATTAAAATAAATTAAATAGAAATATATCTTCAAAATAAAAACTAATAAAACCACACTGAAAACTAAAATTAAATTGATTTCAAATGAAAAATGAAAATGATACAAAAAAGTAAATAAAAAATCAGAACTATAATAGAAAAAGGAGCGAAAATGGACACGTACGGAAAAACAGCACCGTAGGATCCGCTAAGCAGCAGTGTAACACGATTGCCGCTTTTTGTTCTTCATAGAGAGCAGATTCCTGTATGGTCACAGTGAATGACTATATTCCCTCCTGCAGTGCCTCTCCTATGTCTCTTCCAGCATGCAGTGTCTGGTGTCATCTGCTGAGCCTTCATCCGTCACTCCAGGAAAAGGCCTTTGCCCCAGTGGTCCTGTGCTTCTCCAAGACCTGATTCTGAAAGGGCCCAACCACACTGGGCCATTAGGCTTGCGGAAGGAACCCGTTAGCGAGGAACCGCTGCTGCCCCCTTCCTGCTTCATGACCTTCCCCAAACCCCAGGTGGCGACTTGCAATGGCCTAAGTATACACTACATCCATATGTCTGTACAGGAATGGGGATTTTGTCATTTTTATTTACTTACTGTTACTTGTTTTCCTGCAGCATGAACTCCCAAGGTCAGAGGTTAAGTATAGCGGCCAATCAGACGTGCTGCTCTCCCCTGATAAGTTTACCACAGGTATTACTTACACATTATAAACAACAGGCTTATAGCACATTGGTTTGTAGCTCAGCGGATCTGTAGCCAGCAAAATAATTATATTACTGTTGGCTCTTTGAACCCTTAACCCCCGTTTACTTCAGGGGTAACCCTGCTGTCTAATCCTCACTTATACATCCTTTGGAAAACCTGCTTGCTAAATAAGTGTAGTGCAATGGTTTGTGACTCTATGCCAATATGAAATAGTTTGGTAATTTTGGTGACAGTCATGAAACCAGATCCACTGAGAGAACCTTTTGAATCTGGAGCTGCATACTGGTGTTGCTATTCAGTGAAACTGATTTTAAAGCTAATTTTACAGTGAAACCAAAAGATGGATAATTGCACTTTTATGGCTAAGGCACGTATCAGCCACTGTTTATGACCACCATTGCAGTGGATTGTGGGAGATCTGATGAGGAGGAGGAAGAGGAAGATCAGCTGAGTCATGGGAGGTGCACTATCGACCCCACCACTGCACTCACTGAAGAGCTGCTCAGCATTCGACAGGATATGCTGCGTTATCAGGACAACAAGAAGCAGCTGCAGTACGAATCTTCATCCAAGCTGTGGCCTTCATTGGGGTTTTGATCTTTAATCTTTATGATACTGCTAGTCAATGAGTCCTCTAAAAATATTACACTGCAGTAGTGATAACTGCCTGTCTATGGGACACATCCGCAGGGGTTTATTTTGTACTCTGTCCTAGCTTGGGTGATAAGCTAGAATCCACAGATAAGATGTAAAATTTTGGGGCCCGCTGTGCCCACGCAGGGCCTGGCGCAGACTGGCAGAGGTGTTGCGAAGCTGGCTGCGGACCAGTGCCAGCGATGGCGAAGAGAGTGGAGACACCAGGCAGGAGCTAGCGGAGGTGAAACCCTGTGTGTTACTATCAGGTTGTGACAGGATGCCTTAACACTCATAAAAATTTCATTATATGGCGCGCCTGGAATCCGCTTAATCACTTTGTACATTTGTTTGAATATGTAAGCATAATTAATATGGGTGTTGCTTGTACTGTAAACTGTTGTGCATTTTCCCTGGATTGTAAGTACTTTCGTCTTACCTAGCTGGAGGCCAGGATGACCAGGCTGTCAGGGCAGCTGGAAGGTGAAAAGGCTACCATGCAGAGTCACGCCAGCAGGATTCGTCACACGACCAGCATGCTGCAGGAGTTGCGCCTCGGTTCGGCGGAAAGTGCAGCGCGTGGCACAAAGCCAGAGTGAGGACGGGATCCTCGAGACCGAGGCTTGCAGGAGAAGACTGCAGGTTCTGCCATTCTGACTGGATACAGAATGAGAATCCATCATGGAGCCAAAGCTTTTACGCACCAAAAAAAAATACGATAGTGTGAAAGGTTTATATTTTTTTCCATTGTACTTATTGTAGTTTGCTACAGTTATGACATTCTGTGAATTATCTTTTTTGTAATAATTTACCAGATGGTTATTGCCTTTATTCCCCAATACAGAACATGGGCTGAAATGCCCTCTGTTTTACATCTGTTTTGAGACTTTTTTGCACTGTTAAATTTATGACAGTTTAGTTATGCTGGAATAATGTCATGTACAGAAAATTATTTTTGTGACTTTTTAAAACAATAAACAATAAGGAAAACTGAGCAGGATGCAGTTTATTGAATGATGAGAACACTGGTGATACTTTTACGTTTGTCATTTTACTGCAGTATGTGTTTGAGGGGTCAGTATGACGGGAGCTGATCCCTGGTCATAATAATAGCAGGAGTCACTGCAACATTAACATTCTGAGGCCACAGTTCACCACTGCAGACCCCAGGGTCAAAATAACTGCCTGCATAGATCTCCTACATTCTCTGTCCTCCTGAAGTGTGGCTCAGCCCAGAAGAAGGATTTGCTTTTCTTCAACAGTTTGTTCAGTGTGCTGTAGCTTGCCTTCATGAAACATCACACCCAGCACCTCATTAGAATAATCTAATTTAACCCTGGAAGAGATCTCTCATATCCCAAGATGTTTCAGACTCGTGTAGTGAACGGCATTAGCAGCGTCACCCTGGATTACATACATTTCATCCTGGATTAGTTACTGCAGGAGTGACACAAGTAGCACAACACTCCTTAATAAGGGTGGATGGGTGTGCACACACATTAGTTACCTTTTAGGGAAATTTTATTTTTTTATAAATAGATGAAAGTACTACATTTGTTCTTTTCTAACGTTACACTAACTACTAACTGTTATTATAATGTAAAACCTTTCCCTGTACTTTGAACATGCTATTTCTCAGATCAAGCGGAACCATAGACTCTGTGTTGCGCCGGGGGAGCGGATTGACTGTAACACTGGAGCGAGCGCGTGTTCCGCAGGTCCGCAGTTTACAGATTAATAAGGTTAATAACGCGACTGAGTGTGTAACTCAGATGCTTAATCGTACTGCTTGATCATTTAATTCTGCACCTGTTGTTTCTTGCTTATTGTTTTGGAGGAGAGCTACGACAGGGAAGGTGTGAACTAACCTGTTTATGTCACGCTGTTGATGATAGCAGTTTATGTTAGTTGGTAACTAAATAAAAACAACAGGGTATATTTATTGGAACTAGTAAAGTGTTATAAATGTCAGAAGCCGATGTGTAATATCTGTATTCTTTCTAAGCTAATTATGTCATAATCTCTAGGATATAGTCGGGTTTTTGGATGTTGCGTTACGGTAGATCGGAGCTACTGATGAGACATTTCCTTTTGTTAATTTCTTGCAGTTTGGAATACAGTAAATTAATTTTAGTTTCTTTTGTTTTATAGCGATGGATGGTGTTTTAACAGATGAGGAAGATGACTGCCCGGAGCTTGTTCCTATTGCAAGAAAGCAGGCTATATCCACTGAGCAAATCCCAGTTACCATTATCACTGGTTATTTGGGTAAGCTACGAGAATATGCAGAGTAATAATATGAATTTAATAAATACTTTTACGTTACAAGTATGATGGTCATCTGCTTAAATGTGTGTTTTAGGTGAATTATACGGATTATGTCGTTAATTTCTTTTTCTCAATAGGTGCCGGAAAGACGACACTTTTGAATTACATATTAACAGAGCAGCATAATAAGAGAATTGCTGTCATTCTGAATGAATTTGGAGAGGGTAAGAAAGACAGCTATGTTTATCACAAAATAATGTATCACTATAAGATGATAAGAAGGTAAAATAAGTCGTGTCACCACAACAGCGATCAGTCACAATGCGACATTAATATGCACATAATGCAGTTCTTAGGAGCAGAATTAACTTATATTAAAATTATGTAGTATAATATATAATAGTAGTACAGATCCTCGGTGCTCAGTGAAAGTCTTTTTCCGACCACGTTTAACCTGCAATGAAGTAGTCTGCCCACAAGAGGGCAACAAATGACTTATAGGTGGTGTTTTCAAACGGGACAGTGGGTCCAAACTTGACAGTACAGAAGTGGGATACATTTTAGTACCTACGACATTAGTGGTGAGGGTGATAATTATTTCTTAAAGAAAATTGACAATAGAAGCAATGCATTTGCATATTTCTTTTATTTTATGTTTGTAATAGTGTCATATTTGAATTGTTTTTAGTTTGTCAAAATACAATTTATTTAGTTGGAGAATTTAGAGAGAGAAAGTATTTCCTTGAAAAAGAGCAGAATTACCCAAGAACAGTGATGACACTATTTGTTGTGTGTATATTGCTGAGATGTTTAAGCATCTCCTCAGTACTGCTCCTCTTAATCCACAACACTGCCCCCTGTCTTCTCATTCTGAATGTGACTTTAGCGTGCCAGTCTGTTGCTCAGCTTTGCCAAGACCATGCTTGTATGCTCGGTGCTGCATCTTGCTTTGGTTAAGGCTCTTTTCTCAAGATCTCGTCTCGCTCAGAAAGGCTGCGTTGAGTTCTCACGCGGCAGTGGAGTTCAGCAGAGCCTTGTATTCCTGCCCCAGGCAGCGCCCTGGAGAAGTCCTTGGCGGTGAGCCAGGCGGGAGAGCTGTACGAGGAGTGGCTGGAGCTGAGGAACGGGTGTCTCTGCTGCTCTGTGAAGTAGGTGCAGCTCCGGAGCTCACCGATACTGGGTGTCCATGGTAATCGCAGATCACGGGGTCAGTGTACATGTTGGACAGCATGTAGGGTAGTGGTTGGAAAGCTGGACTTAATAAATAGTTCAGGTTGTTTGTCATGTTTACAGGGGTGTTTACACATTTACACTATGATTTGAGTTATGTTTACAGGGGTTCACCATAATTTACACTATGATTTGAGTTAAAATGGGAACTAAGCATTAGGCAACCAATTTGGGGGTTAGGGTTAGAGTTTTGGTTGACAGCAGATAATCAGGTGCAGGGGAAGGATTTGACACTGGATATATTATTGTTTTTTTTGTATGTAGCGTGTGCCTTATTCCAGCAGATAAGCAGTATAAATTGGAGCAGAGCTGTACTTGGGTGGGCCGTTTGCAAAACACAGAGTGTCTGTTTAAGGGCCATGTCATAAAAATATCTTTAAATTGTACAGTTTGGATAAAAATACAGTTAGGAAATTTGTGGTGGAATACATCATTAAAAATGATTAATTCATATTAACTGTCAGGCAGGTTCTACTGGGAATTGGGTAGATTTCACGGTTTCCCAGATGATCCCAGATGTGTTCACTGCTTTCTTGTTTGGCTGCAGGGATAATGGCTTGAAAGCTATAGAAAATCTCATGGAGAAGAAAGGAAAATTTGACTATATACTTCTGGAGACGACAGGCCTGGCTGACCCTGGTAAGGCACAGATGCTGGGCGTCTTCTCCTTCAGCCTGATTCAGTTTTATTTACATTTTTATATTTGTTATTCTGTATAGCCTTGAAGTTTTTTATATTAAATCGAAACCTTGCATTTCCGTTGTTGCCGTGACGGTCCTGAAATGGAGAGGTTCCGCTTTGTCAAACTTCAGGTTCTTGCGAACGAATGCAAACGGCCCCGGTGCCTCGATCCTGTTCCAATCAGGTCAAGGAAATTGTCAGAACCGCCCAGTCTGGTGAAGGGGTGGGGGGAGGCGCAAGGGAGGAATCAATAGGAATCAGTAAGTCATTACCGGGAGCCATGCTGGACAAGTGAACAGAGCAAATAGGTGACAGGTGTCAGGGGGCAGAGCGCAACAGCTGGGGCTCTTTGGCACAGACAGACGTCCTGTGACAGGTGGCAGCATCACTGGGTGGGACGATGGGGGGGGTCCAGTCAGCCTGGGCTCCCCTGAGGCTCACAGAACAGTATCACCTCCCTTCAGCTCCTGCTCTCTGGAAGCCTGTCAGAGCCCAGATTGCTTGTGTTTCACTTTTTTTCTCGTCTTAGTTGTTTTCATTATCCTTCTATCAAATATTTACGCTGCTTTCTCATCCTTGCTGACGGTTTGACAAAAAGTGCGAAATGTGAACAAGCAGGGTGTGTGGGGGGGGGGGGGGGGGGGGGGGGGGGGGTGTGTCGTTTCTTGTTACTTGTCTCTGCGGTAACTTTCGCCTGAGAAGAACACCTGGGAGATACCTCCGTTTGTGGTTCTTTGATCTTTATAAATTATAAACAATTGGCATGATCTGTAGCTTTTTGATTTCGAGCATATCATAGTAACAGATCTTGACAGGGAAACTTTGCACAAATGATTCGAATAGAAGCTGGACCGCAATAATTTACGTCTTATTCGTGCCATGTTGACATTAAAATATACTCAGTTTTTTAAATTTCTTACATTGTGAATTTTCCTTTGTTTTTTTGAATACAGGAGCGGTGGCCTCCATGTTCTGGGTAGACGCAGAATTGGGCAGCGATGTTTATCTCGATGGTAGGAAGCGACCTCTTTGTGACACTCCTGCAAAGTTACCGATGGTAGATGAATGTTTGACATGAAATACCCACATTTTGCTGCCAGAACTGTGCTCTGCTTACTCTCTTATGGTTAAACCAAGGGTTCTTCAACCCTCTTGTGCCATGGACCTCTTGGTCAGTCCCGTGAAGGCTATGGACCTCATTCACAGAATAGTGATGTGAACATATCTGTGATTTCTGTTGTCATCAAAGTCACAGGTGCCACTAAAACTGCTGTGGTTTGTGGTCTGCATTCATTGCTGCAGGAAAAGTTAGATTTCACTTGGAGGTTAGTGAAGATAAAGATGTAAATTTTTTCCCCATCCAAGTTCACTGTCCTCCTGAAATCCGTCCTCGGAGCCCAGGTTAAGAACGCCTGGTGTAAACAGGCTGGTGTTCCTGATGTTACTGAGAAAATACTTTGGAAAATGGTTCCATATGTAGGTTGTGTTTATTAGTATGTATTTGCACCTAAGAACTACCATTTTGTCTTTTCAGGAATCATTACAGTAATAGATGCAAAATATGGAATGAAGGTAAGTTAACCATGCTTGGCAGTCAAGTTGAGATCGGCAGAACTTTCTAGAAGATGTTCTTGCCTCCTCTCTCTCCCACACCCCAGCTATAAAAACCTCCTTTCCCCCCCCTCCCACACCTGCCAAACATGAAGCCTTTGATTTAAACATTCCTGTGAGGGGCAGGGATGGTGACACCAGGATAATAGGCAGCTGTTTGGGGGTGTCGCGCTCGGCGGCTCGGCCTCTCTGATGCCTGTGGGCCCCCGACGCCCTTCTCTGGGCAGGCAGTTTGATTGAAACTGAAGGGGTCATTGTTATCAGAGGCGATCACGCTAATGGGATTGTCACCCCCACTGTCAGCCACCCAGCTACTCTCTGAAATATTCATGTATTCATGGGCTGCAATCTTGACAACGAACCTGGGGGAGAGCCGGGCCTGGGGGGCGTCACTCTTCTGTTCTTGCTTTTGTTCCATCTGATTTTTTTTTAAAGAAAAGTATTAATAAGTAAAATAAATAGTACACTGGGTCGTTTTCAGGCGTCTCCAGCCTGTCAAAGCGCAGTGACAGCAGGTCACGGCTGTGTCCGATCTTCCCCATCAGTGTCCGGAAATGGGATACGGTCCCTTTTCGTAAATGTAAACGGGATAACTGGGGAAATAAAGCAGTTCGTCTTCCCTTGGTCACATGACATGGGATTGACGTTTCCCCCCCCCCATCCCGATTTGTCAGGTGATAGATGGTGACAGGCTAAGTGCACAAGCATAGAGCACTTTTGCAATGTGCCCAAGCATCGTGCGCCAGGCCGAGAAATGTTCAGAAGTTCTTGAGGAACTGAAGCGCATGGTTTCATTCCATGGCACTTCCTGTGCCACTGCCTGCAGAACTAAACTCACATGGATCTAAATTATTCTCTCTCTGCTGGGAGGTCGGTGTTCTCAGAATGTGCTGTTAATACATACCTGCAGTTTTTTTCTCTGATTATTACTGTCCACAGTTCTGTACTGGCAGGCCGCTGAACGTGCTTGTCTTGTTCCCGCTGAGTTGTTAATTAATTAGGCTGGATAGGGCTGTTTATTGCCTGAATTGTGTTAAATGGGAATGTGTCAGCTGAGAGGTTAGTTATGGCATGTTTATAATCGTGAAAACACTGTCCGTCGAACCCGCTTTCAACCAGAAATCCATTAGGACCTGCAGTCCATCTCGCGCTTGCACTACTGGAAATTTCGAAATGCCATTAAATGGTATAAACTACCTCCCAGTTAAGGGAGGAATTAGTGTTTATTGCTACACTTCCTATTTGAATCAGGTTTAAAACCCGCTGGCCTGCCCCAGAACAAATGCAAGGGGAGAATGGCAGCAGACAGTAAGAGATTTTCGGTCGACGTGCCGCAGACGTAAACTCAGCACTGTGTCACCTAAAGGAATCGCGTTTTTTGTCTTTCAGCACCTGACCGAAGAGAAGCCTGACGGCCTAGTTAACGAGGCGGCCAGGTGCGATTTTATGTTTTGTTCAGTTGTTTAATTGTGATATTCAGCAACTTAGTCGTCAAACACTGTAGAGGAGACACGTGGTTTTAGCTGTTTGCATTTCGCTAAACAAGCACGGCAACAAAAGGAGAATCCTCGCTTTTCTCCCGCTTCCATAAAATACAGCTGTTTCTCCATCCTCTGTGTTTGTCTGTTTCTCTCTAACCAAATGTCCGCTCCTCCTTACCGCCCCGTGATCCCGGCCACCCCTGAGCTCGGGGGGGGGGGGGGTGAGTAATTCAGGCAGCCAATGGGAGCTGCCGTGGTCCGTCACCCCGCCAAGTTAAGGCCACATAAATGAGTCCTCTTTCCGTCTGCCGTAGGGTTGTGTGTCTGCTAAGCTCCTGATTTTTATAAGGGGGAGGGGGTAACCTTTGGCTTATTCTGCAGGCAGGTGGCCCTGGCTGACCTAGCCATCATCAACAAGACTGACCTGGTGGGCGAAGAGGAGCTGAGGCAACTCAGAGAGACAGTGAGGTGAGGGGAAGCTGCAGCAGTGTATTGCAGTGCTGTGCAGTGTATTGCAGTGCTGTGCAGTCGGTGCCACCTGACCCTCTATAGTATGATGTCATAATTAACGCCCCACCCACTAGTCGCTTGACGATGATAATGCCACATATTACTAGATCAGGTGGAGCCCTATTACTGTTAGACATGGATCCGAGTCTCAGGGACTCTGGATCCCAGCTGTACCATTTGTTAGAATCGTTCTTAAAGAACGGGAACCTGGGATGCATCCAGTTTTCCATTCATTTTCAGAACATGACATTTCAGTTCTTCAGCTTCTGTAATTCACAATCCGGAGCATAATCTGTTTCATCTCTTTTTCTAGATCAATGAACGGCCTTGTAAGAATTTTAGAAACACAGAAATCCAGGTGGGAATCCGAAACCATCTATCTTTTCTGTCTTTCACGTCTTATCCAGCATAAAGTACCAGTACCGTCACAGGACACACACACAATATAGGCAGTTTAGTGATGTCTGTTATGCTGCGTTCCATTTTACCTCGTAACTCCCTGAAATTCCGCGTTCCTAGTCGTAAATTTCAACTGGAATTCTGACTCGTCAACTAGGAGGAATCGACACAACTCCGAGCTCAGAATCCAAAATGGCTGCGGCCTTTATCAACAGATCTGAAAGCTATATACTGTTTATTATGTCTTTTTTTGTGGCTCATTTAATCGGCCGTACGCGCAGGACTGTCCAACCTCTATCTGTGGACTTTTTGCTATGGTGTTTTATGCGCAAAATACCTTGAAATGTGCTGTTATCCACTGATATTGCTAACAATTAACCAGGCTAGAACTGGGGCCTGTTTCATTAAGCAGGATTTCTTCCTTAAGTGGACAGCTTATTTAATTTAAGGTTCTCTGGGCTAATTGTAAGTGAACAAAGATAAAGGCCATTTAAACTGGGTAAATTAAATCTGACAGGTTATCCGGGTAAGCAAGTGTTAAGGATTGTGTCCGGGGAAACAGAACAGACACCTTGAAGTAGAACAACAAAAAATAACAAACGTGGTACAAAAATGTTCCTTTGAGTTTATTTCTATACCTTAAAATGTACATTTACCGACAGCTAGGGTACAATTGGCAGACCCTTGAGGGTGCAGCTCCAATCACAAGTAATTATACCCTCAAAGGTACAAATTGGTCCTTTTTTGACAGTGTAGAGCACAGTGGAAAGGTCTCTCAATCAAGAATCATCTTGTTCTTCTCTCAAAAGTTGATAAGTGAGTTACTACATTTATAAGACTTCTTTAAAAAAAAAAAAGGTGTAGAAAAACTACAGGTAGTGGTAAAGGAACAAAATATTATGAATGTTTGACTGCGGTGGGTAGGACTGTGTGTCCATGGCTGCTCTTAAATTAAACAACACATGTAGCATAAGAGGAAACGGGTCTGTTTTTGTTTGTTTAGCTGCAGTAGCTGCGGGCCAGAGGAGCTTGATTCAGTGTAATTGCCATGATCTGAATGCTGGATGTTTTAGCTTCTCTGGGGACATTTTGGCATTTTTTAGTTTAATTTGTTTACTAGTCCATGTAAATCGGGTCAGATGGTAGAAGCTGTGCAGATTTTCTTTTTTGACGTTCTGTGTGGTTCCAAGAGCATGTACTTTCAGGAGGAGATGGTGATCCCTAACCCTGTTTTTGTGGGGGGGGGGTGCTTGTCGCTTTAGCCCTTATGGATGACCCACCAGGGGCTTTCGATCGCTTTGTTGTTGTAACAAAGTAGATCTATCACTGCAGGACACAAACACTCTCCCTATGCCCACCCTAACGCGACTCCTCTGTGGGGTGGGGCTGTCTTACTGCTGGACGGCCTAACCAGAGGTCACCCCCCCGTACACAAATGTGGGCCCTCTGGGGGACATTCCTGTCACCCTTTCTGATGGAGAGGTTCCAACTGACATGAGCAAAAAGAAAGTTAAAGTAAATTAAATTAAAGGAACCCAGTGGATTGTAGCGTTAAGGAGTTTACTGAACGTTGTTAGATTTGAAAGCTTTGCATGAATTATTGTTGAGAACAGAAATTAGGAGTACAGTCCAGGTATGATTTTGATTTAATGGAAAAAAATCTGAATATTTCCAATTTATTTCATGCCTTGGATCTAGAGCTTCTTTTTTGGATGTTTAGATGTTCACATTGAGGCATTTCTGTTAACAATTGTATTGCACTGCATTTTATGCAGTCAAAACATGATTACTTTTTTGCACTCGCACATTCCTTGACTGTGAAATTTGAATTTCCAATGAATCTTTGGTGACAAAAAGGTCAAAGTAAATCTGAAATGCCCAGATACACTCAAGATAATGTTTGGAAACCACTAGCTATGACACACCATGCCAGGAACAACTAAAATGTCGTGTTTTCTGTAATATTAAGCTGCATTTATGTATGCTTGCTGCCTGTCTTTCTTAGGGTCGACTTATCCCAAGTGCTAGACTTGCATTCCTTCGACAGCAGAGGTGGAGCGCGGTAGGTAAACCTGCTACAAGGCTTTAGATTTATTTGTCATCTTGCTTTTTAGGAGAGTAAAAGTCGCTAAAATTGGCTAACATCCATGTGTGCTGGGCTGATTTTTCGCTAACCTTTCCTCAGTGATACAGTGAAACCTGCAACCTGATCTATATGGGATGCTGGTTTCATTGTGAGATAATTCCATGCCTTTACATTCAGTTGTTAGTTTCGAGAAATCAGTCCGGATCTGTTTCTTGCATGGTTGGGTTTAGTGAAACTCATCACTTGAATGTTGCCTGTGAACCTGTTATGGGTTTAGAATTAAATGTGTTTTACATTCACTTAATCTGTTTGCAAACTGATAGTCCATCAAGCTTTCAAACGCTTAGCTTGATCAGGGCTGCCCAGGCCTGGAGCTTATGCCTGGAGAGGAAGCCAGTCCATCACAGGACGTATACATGCACATAGTCCCAATCACACACTGGGAGCAGTTTATAGATGCCAGTTAACTACTGGCCTGTCATTTGGAGGAAAGTCATGCATTATGAGAAGAACTTGCACAGATCAGAGGCCAGATTTGAACCCCCTTCGCTAGAGGTGAGAGGCAGCCACCCAATGAAACACCATACCACCCTGATGAATTGCAAGTTATTCACTGATTTCCATTGTCCTGCATAACTACACACAAAGGCCAGATGGGGATGCATTATGGTCTGTTGATAGACGAGCATCTTTCCTCCAGAGTCACCCAGCTGTTGGGGATTAAACCTTTGTCACACCGGGCTGCTGGGAGGAACCTATCTCAACGTGCTAATCTGTACAGATACTCTCAAAGAGCCTTTCACCTTTACTGTTACACATCTGCTGTTTGCTTTGCTGACCTTTACAAATAGAAATTACCCTTTTCTGTCTTGTTATAAGTGGCTTTTGGGTAATGTTAACCCCCCCCCCCACCACCTCTCACCCCCAGCTAGCTGTGTGGTTTGGTCACTCTGCTTTCCAAGAACTTCAAATGCTTTCCCACCACAGGAACATTTTTCATGAACCAGAACCTTTTTCTCAAACCAGGAACTTCTGTCATGTTTCCATCACAGGAACTCAGCCCAATTGTAGTTCCTCTGAAGTAGTTCCTCAACCTTTTTTTTAGTCCCTCCCCCAGCGTAGGGGTGGGGCTTATAAGTAAAGAGTAAAGTGCAGGGAAAAGAGGTAGAAGTAGTGGAGCAAAAATGGAACAGATAGAATTATTTTTGTATCTGAGTTACATCGTCTCCTTATATCTGCATCAGAAATTTTGTTTGATAACTGACATACTTCTGTCTAATATCACCGGTACTGGCAGAGTAACTCGTCGGTGCTTATTAGCGGAATAATGTTATATTATATTTTCAATTCCGTGGAAAAAGATCGATCTGTTGGCCAGATTTATTAATGAGTTATAAATGTTATGCGGGTCATATAAATAAAATATAAACGAAATGCAGTTTGTTTCACATTATTGGACTGTGCAGGCATTTAGGAAAGTGATACACAAAAAACTAGCAGGAACTACAGTGGGTGGGCTAGTTTGGGGGGGTGGTGGGACATTGGTTGCTGATTTGTTTTTGTGTATATGGCTGGACTTTCTGACAACGATGCATTTTGTTGTTATGGTTCCTGAAGTACACATTTATTTTGTTTTACCACAGATTTGTATTTATTTATATGATGTTCTCTCTTTGTCTAGGCTGCAGGAAAAGCTAGAAGCTGCGAAAACAGTACAACCACATCTAGATAAGGTGCTGATGATCTGTGGTGAAGTGCTGTGGTTTTTCCATTCATCCATTAAGTGTGTCTAACAGATGATTGCCTTGTGAAATCGCCGCAAAGTCTCTGGGCCGTCCCAGAGGTCTGATTAGACCAAAACTGCATATTTGGCATCAGGAGTGGGAAAATATTTCCACATTAATATCTTGGTTGTTTATAGTTGAAATCTAGCAAAGCTAATTGGCCCAGTGAGAAAGTTTTTTTTTCAATTCTAAAGTTTTTAAAGCAGTATCGCCCTGAAATGAGGCTTGTTGCCTCACACATTTAACTGCAGCAAAGCCTGCTGTGACCAGTTGAAAAGTGGGAGTCTTACAAGCTTGTCCTGGCTTTGTTCTCCGCTTGTGTGTCCTGTAATGTTCACTCAGCAGGCCGCTAAATGCCTCAATTGTCACCTGCTTCTCCTGATCCTCTTCGGACACTCCCCGGCCACCCCCCCCCCCCCTTGGCAGCTCTTTTAATGCAAATGGCTCCTCTGCTGTCTGTTCTTTAAAAAAAGGAAGTGTTTAGCACTGACACTTGCATACGATACCGTAAAATATCTACAAGTGACGCTTTGGTGCCCCAGGTAATTTCCCATGATGTAAATTCTACGTAGCTTTGCTGGAAGTATCCCAGTCGCCAGATTGATTGGGTTATAAGAAGGTCCACGTCAAGATAATGGCATGTTCCTGTCATATAACTTCTGCTTCCATGTCAATTACATCGACTGCTTCAGTTATTTAATTCTTTTTGTTAAAACCCATCTCTCCTGATGGATACACAAATCTTGCCAAGGGAATTTTAATAAACGCCTAGTAGTAATTCTGCAATATCCAGCTTTCCTGTGTTTTAATTGGTCTTCTGAAGGCTATACTAAAAATCAGCACAAGCAAGGATTTTTCAGGCAACATTAGCAGTTGTACAAGATGATGATACTCCTGTGCTATTTCCATTTCACATCCGGTTAATTTTTATAGTCAGGAATGAAATGGTTTTGTGAAGCTGTACAATGTGGAAATTACTCACACGTTTTATTGTTTTACTGCGCATAATTTTACAGACGATTTTGACCGTGACCTTTGAAGTATCTGGCAGTATTTCTGAAGATGACTTAAATGTATTTATTCAGGTAAAAAACATTACATCAACATTGTAGTGTTAATTGTGGGTTAACATCAACTCCAATAAAGATTAAAAATTACTTAAGAATTTGTTTCTTTGCAGAATCTTTTGTGGGAGAGGTCGTACAAGAACAAAGCTGGATTGGTCATGAATGTTATAAGATTAAAGGTAAAATATTTGAGATGTAATATCCAAACACACTAATGGCCTGAGACAGAGATGGGGGTTGTGTGATTGTTTTGTGTATTTTTTTTATTTTATTTTACTTTATTTTATTTTGGTCCAGGGTATTGTATCACTGCGGGAAAAGGCCCATCAGATGATTCTCCAAGGGGTGCATGAGCTGTACGATCTGGAGGAGACCCCGCAGGTGTGGAGTGAATCTGCACCCCGAGTCAGTCGCCTCATTTTCATAGGTGAGCACCGCTGTACTACTAGTGCTGTCTCATTGTCATTCTGGCCTGTATCATTTCTTTGTGTTGTATTTGACTATATATATATATATATATATATATATATATGTATATACTGTACAATTGTATCTTTGCACTTTATGTGATTTTACCTGACTGCTGCATGCAAGTAATCTCCCCCCCCCCACCCCATCATCCAGAAATTAATGTATGTTATCCAAGTCTTATGTTATTTCCGTGTAACTGTGTTTTTATTACCGCTATTATTATTATTGTTGTTGTTGTCATTATTATTTGGTATTGACGTAACTGGTATGCAAGTACGGATTTGGGGTATAAAGGTTAAAATGTGCATTAATTTCTTGTCATAACAGCGCAAATGCATACTCATTTTATGCACATTTGTGCTTTTTTGAAAAGAAATTAATGTACATTTCAACCTTTATACTACAAATACGTATTTGCATACTAGTTATGTCAATCTCTGATTATTATGATTAATTATTATTATTTGATTGATTGATTGTTACTTTTGTTAAAAATTACCTATAATCTCACTACCTTACCCCGGGGTACAATAGCTACACTGCTAGAACTGCAACTGGCAGCATTTCAAGCCAGGGCATTTTGCAAACATTATTGTGGGGGGGGGGGGGGGGGGGTTAAGGGCCTTCCTCAAGGGCCCACAGGTGACATCACTCTGCTGCTATGGGATTTGAACCAAAAACATTCTGATGACAGACACAAACTCAGATAGCTACCACTGTCCACAACCATCATGCCCGGCTTGCTTTTAATGTACCGCAGGCAGGTCTATTTACAGTGATGACACTGTAGCAGTCTGCTAATTGGTTGAAAAGTAGATACAGGTTATTACTTCCAACAGTGTTCTGTAATACCTGCATTGTCCTGTGCTACAGACGTGAACTAGGTAGACCTGATTTTCAAAACTGTGATTATCTCTTCTGTTCTGGACAGCCTTTTCCCTGTTTTGGACACCTAGTCTAAACCCTCTCTCTTTTTTCTACAGGAAGGAATCTAGACCAGGAGGTCCTGCAAGAAGAATTCATCGCTGCTGTAGTCAATGGAGAGAGCATGGGCTAACACAAAAACTCTTTGTCATTCTTCTGGTAAATTTCACATTGTATCGCTGTATGTCTCTCCATCCCTAAAATATACAGCTGGGGTGTCCTGTGTGATTGGTCTCCATCATCCGTACAGAACATTAGACAGTCTGAGTCCTCAAATCACTCTCAGCACTGCAGAGATGCACTATGATGTATTACAACTACTGCTCAAAATGTACTGCAGAGTCACTTTACAAATATCAGTGTGATAACATTCAGTTTTGAAAATTTGAAACTGATCCCCCCCATTTTTATAATCAATGAAACGTTTCTAAACTGTCTGCAATTTAAATTGATCTTTAATGGAGATAATTTCAGTAATGTATTTTCCATAACGTCTTATGAAGTAAATTCTAGCACTGCGTTTTTAAACAAACAAGCAAAAAAAACTCAAAGCTGTTTGCTAACGATTAATTGTCCTTGAAGGTTTACTGTTTTGCGTATTAAATTATAAGAATCGTAATTTTAGTCTATAGTTTGTTTTTGTTTCTGATTTATATAATAGTAAACTTTTCATGAATTTGTTTGCGACTTTGATAGTATAGTTATAATAAATTGTATTTTGCTGTTATCGTTACGTGTCGATTTATTAATAGCAGATTTTTATGATTATTTCATTTGTTACGTTTCTGTGTAAAAATGGCGATTTGTCTCACTGTGAAGTAGCTGTAAGGAGTTTAAAAGGACGCGGTGTAGGTACGTGTGAGCGAGGCGCTGAGATTAGCAAACAGCCGATTGAAGTGTCGTTTTATCGGGATTTTTTCGGGGTCACGGCCGTTTTCATATAATAATAATAATAATGTTACTAATTCCAATACCTGTTATTAATGCTAATATAAGGTTAATGAGCGCTTGGGCTACGTTAAGTGTTTTCACGCAAGTTTTTAATTTTATCAAGATGAAATTAACTGATGAAATAATAATACAAAACAAAAAAGTCGTATTATATTCTCGCCGTTGTCGATCACTCATACGTACCTGCAGTTTCTCTAATTTTAAGGGAATTTGCGTCGTTTTATTCATACTCACATAACCTATCACAATTGAAGAGGTGAAACCACCAAGATTTTCCAGTATCCCGCAAACCCGCAAAGTTGAAGAAATGGGTGTGATCGGCTTAAGCACTCGTTTGCAATTAAGATTGACTTTGGCAGTTAAATACATATCCGAGCCCCAAGGATGTTCTTTGAGGATTTTTTTTTTTGTTCGTTCAGCTCCCCCTAATAAAAGTCTTCCATGTTGCATTGCCTAAACTTACACTCTAGCTGTGTCGTTTCCTACCTGATTCTGATGCTGATAGCCCATTTTACTGCCGTCTATGGCACCTTCCCTCCGGTGCCGGCGGGGTGCTTACCATGGCCATTTTCATGGTCACACCACCAGCAAAGATCTTGAGGTGACAAACTAAACTAAGCCCTAGGGGGTCGAGAAGAGGATCTTCTTGAATTATGCGTGGTGTTAAAATTTACGTCTTGTGTCTTACGGCGAAACTGGGGTAAGCTACTTAATAAATACGAAGAATGCTTTAATTCTTATTTTTTCCCTTTAGTTTTACAAACTTTCATCAATATTGTTCACCTCTCGGTCACATTGCAGTGCTTCATATATTATCAGCCAGACTGAGTTAACTTGTATGCTGTGGGTCTATTTCATATCTTATAATCTCAACTTGAATATATTGAATAAAATATACATAACATAACATGCATTAATAACACAGATACACTCCATTCTCATTACATGAAAATTAAGGAGCATAATATACAGTTGGGAAAACGTAGGAAGAGCGTTGAGGTTTTTCGGGTGTTACTGTTATAGCATAATTATCGCAGAGCCTATATGTTTCACGTAGTTGATAACGACTAACCGTTTCTTCGTTTAATGATCAAACGTGTTTAAAAGTGTTTAAAATTATTATCTCTGTTGGTCGTTTTCAGCTTAAAGTTTTTTTTAGCACTTTGAGTACCTTTTCATCTAAACCGTAATAACGGGTGTGATTTTCGATGTCGTCCAGTGTTCACTAGTTAGCATATAATCATAGGCTATAATTTCTGCGCTCACGTTTTCTCCCACCGGCGCGATTGTTCTGATTCCCTGCGGTGACATGCAGGTTCTGATAGGTTTAGCCATCAATGGGACAGTCAGGGGGCGAGGGACCCACCCCTCATAAAAACCCGAATTGACCAATATCGTGACAAACAGCGGAGAAGTCGGAGGGGGCAGTCGGGATAGTAGTGTGGAATACCACGTGTTGACTTCGGTCTTCTTTACACTGAATTTATCTTTGTGCTTGTATGTACATTTTAGACGAGAAGTTATGACTCTCTCGAAGGAATACGAAGCAAACCAGCAGCGAATGTTGGTGCCGCTGGATGAGGGTGAAATCGACATTCTGGGGGACGATGACCCTCATGATCAGCACATTGCAGAGGCGTCGGCCGAACCCAGCGCCGAACTGGACACTTCCGGAGCCGATTCGTCGGGTGAAAGCGAGAGCAGTTTCTGCTCATCTGGTAAACTGCATCTCAACACGGTCAAGCCGCCTTATTCCTACATCGCTCTCATCACTATGGCGATCCTGCAGAGCCCACAGAAGAAACTGACGCTCAGCGGCATCTGTGACTTCATAAGTAACAAATTCCCTTATTACAAAGAGAAGTTTCCCGCGTGGCAAAATTCTATTCGGCACAATCTGTCACTCAATGACTGTTTCATTAAGATCCCTAGAGAGCCCGGAAATCCAGGAAAAGGCAATTATTGGTCCCTGGACCCTGCATCTGAAGACATGTTCGACAACGGAAGCTTTCTCCGAAGAAGAAAACGATTTAAAAGAAGTCATCCAGAATATGTAAAGGACAGCCTTATGCTGTATTCGAATTTTAATTTTCGGCCTTATGGGCGCCCATATTGTGTTCAGGGTCAAAGTGCCTCACACGCAGGAGCGACCCGCTACCTGCCGCTACAAGACGGGGTCGTAACTCCTGCCACTTATTACCAGCATCAGAGCGTCCGCAGCGGGAAGGTCACGGGGCCCAAAGGATTTCAGATGCAGCTATACCCAGCATCTCTCCAACCTCAGAAGTCCACACCTGTGACACGAAATAAATGTTCTTTCAGCATTGACAGCATAATGGGAATAAATTCTTCTAGTGTGCAAAACCCCAGCTTCCAGGGCGCGACAGACTACTCCAGTTTGCTAAGGAGACCAACCACCTACTTGGTACAGACAATGTTATCCGCTCCAAGAACTTCGTTCAACTCGGCTCCCGTGAATCTAAATCCACCCGAACTGCAGCAGATGCGGTACCTACACTGAAAGGAAGGTGGACACTTTCGTGTATAGACCACATGTTCAGTTGCTGCTGTGAATTGTGAACACGTATTGTGTAAGCTGTAAGTTTTATATATAAAAGATAAATAGCGAGATACGATATAACACTGATAGTTGTAATGTATATAATATGTAGTAATATATTTATTAAATGCGTAATGTAATGGAAGACAGTTATGAGAAAACCAGAAATACTATGTATTTAAAGTTTTTGTCGGTATATGTTTTGTATGATTTTAAATGTTTAATTAAAATCGATATCCACCACCCTGCATTTCTGAGCCCTAAATGTTACTGGTATGTCTAGTTTTTCTAAACGTTTATCGGTGTGTTGGATATCATGTCTGTTTGTTAATAATAATTAAAAAAGAAAAAAGAAAAACCGCGTCAAGGCCCCCATATTAAAATACGGAGAGATAATTGCAGGCAAAGCTAGAATTCCTGTCTGACATCAAACGCCTGCCCACTAGCCGTTTTATAATCAATGGTTATACATTCAATGGGTTTAAATTAAAACGTAAAATAAACTATTGAGAGTTTAGTTTTAGGCCATGTTTAGTATCCAAACATTAAGCAGTTAATAATTATAGACAGAAGCCTAAATACATTGAGAAACAACGGTAGCGCTGTCCGATACATTCCAAATATCTTCCTGTGCAGTAGTTCTCCTAGCAGACATGGGGTCAGGTCGTTTAATTATCCACGTGAGCAGTTGAAAACAGTGTATGCATCATGTTGTCTCCATACTGAGAGCATCCATTAAAAATAATAGAATGACGTACTTGAAGACCACTTAGTAAATGTCATTGACGTTATCGGCATTGCTGATTGTTAGTCATCACTGAAGTTATCGTAGCCACTAGTAATACCAAGACAATAATGAATCAAGACAAGGATTTAATAAAAGTTTTAATTGAATCGGCCTACCTTGATTCATTGATGAGGTGCTTTTGTGTTTGTATTCATTGAGCAAGTAGGTTTGCGCGTTTCATTGACGAGCCTGATGTTGCCCTTACAGAGTTTACTGTGCGCCCCAGCAGGGCTGCCATCTTTGGTCAGCTGGCTGGAGTGAGATCTTCAGTTTGAGCCAAATCTGCACACACATGCACACACATTTACAAGTATGTAATTGTTTTATTAACTTGTAAATAGTCTGTCCGGTTTGCAAATTACCCCAGCGCTTTTGATGTAGCTAATTTTAGGTTTGTAATGGAATAATATACAGTACACTTGCCGTAAGATTTCTTGCGTGAGCGTGAGAGTCTAAAAGTGTGAGTTTAACAACGCCAGATGCATGAGAGTTGGCGACCCTGCCCACCAGACTTCGTGCTGCCTGGCTCTGGAACACTGCAGCCCTGCATAGGACAAGCTGGTATAGAAAATGGATGGATGGATTTCAGCTCACTAAATTCACTTTCAGGTGCCAGCTTTCACACAGCTTGTTAGATAGACTTGTTGACCTAATACTTACAATTCCATGAATATAAGAAACTAATTTCACCCGAAGTCGCAGTTCTTAATCATGCAGTCCTGAATGGCCCCGACGTTAGGGCATCAATGTGATTAATTCGTAATTTATATTGTTTGTGTGAACTGTAAATTGAAGATTACAACGTTACTTTCAATGCAAGCTTATCTTAAACGCTATTATTATAGGATCTGAATGTTACAACAGTTAAAAGAAGCTTTATTAGAAGAATAGGATGGTGAGTCACACTGCCCTTACCAGGGTAAGCGACTGGAGAGTGGATGGATGGAAATCGTGGGTCGAAATCCAACGCACCTTAACAGGCCTTCTTTGTGATAATAATGCCACCGTGTGGTTCAGTTTCGCAATTACAAGCAGGAGCCGCATTGAGAGTAATTAACGGATTTTTATGTATAGTTCTTCTATAGGTTTATAATCTATATAAAGACAACCAGTTGAATGCCCTATTTTCTTCATTAATAATTCAAATGGAGACGCCGTCATGATCCCGCGCAGGGCGTATACTTGAAATTCTGGGGCGCCTGACAAAATGTCACCTTGCCTCCCCGCCAAATTCATGGGTTCGACGTATTCAAGGGCTCCGGTCAAGTGCTGGACCCCCTGAATCTGCCAGGGTATCCGTGCCCCTTATCCTGCGTAGTCTTGTTCATTGAGAAATGCGGGTTATAAGGAACGGATTGGTCAGTTTTCCTCAGAAGGGAAAACACTGAATATTTTTTGCGGGTCGGAGAGGACATTATGACATCCGTTT